ATAGATCACCTTGAGCCAAAATGGCTACTCTCTCTCTCTCTCTCTCTCTCTCCCTGCCTCTCAGGGCAAGGGTAATGTACGAGGCTCCCCTGGCCGAGAGGCCAACCCATGCTTTATCGTACTCTTTGGCAGAACCGTGAGACGTGATCATGAGTGCATGAGGGAACAACATCAACTAGGAGTTTACACATATGCTTTCCCCGAGCTCATCATCGTAATCTGGCGTCGGCACACGAACACGGTAAACCCGCGGGTACGCTCGATCCCCAGGTACGCTGGTTACCTTCGGCAATACAAAATACAAGCAGTCGATACAATGGTCACAAGATGTCACCAGTGGGACTGGGTTCACGATGTGCCATTGGCCTCCATGTGTCATTACCGATTGCACAGAGACGACACAGTTGCAGGATTAGGCGGCTTTTGCAGATAGGAGGCCGTGGCGACGATCATGAAAGCTTGTGAGTGCTGTGAGGTCGCCCCGCCGGAAAAGAGATCAACAAGGCAACAAAAATAATACAGACAGAAAAAACTCGCAATGTTAACCGATGCAGGAAAGCCTCTCTCTGGGTGTCTCGTTCTTCCTCTTCTTCTCCTCCTTCTTCTGTTTCTTCTGCACAGTCTTTGCATTGCTTTGCTTTGCTGCACAGTCTTGCTTGCTTGCTTGGAATCCCCCTTTGTTCACGGCAAAGCTAGACCACACTCCACTAATCAAAGACTGTCCACGATGGTCAGCACGCGGTTTATGCAACATGCTCATACGACCGGTCATATCGCTGGCATGGAAGACGGGGATCAAGTCGAGCACGGAAAAGCAGTAGCATGGAGTAGGCGTTGCTTCAGCGAAAAGTTGTCATGTTTCAAGATCCGGGCAACCGATAAAAAACACTAGAAACACTAGATCTGTGTGCAGCTGACTGAGATCTCGAAGTATGCCAGGTCTCATCCCTGGTACTGAGCCAAAGTCAGGTGCTTCTGGCTTCTTCAGAGAAGGCAAGAGATCGAAGTGATTTGGCCGGCCTTTAGCAGGCACTTATCCCATGCTACCGGAGGGTTCTGGAGGTGCTCTGCATGGGATACTTTAGCTGTAGCTTTAGAAGGTTGGTCATGAATGAATCCGCTTACTTTTGGGATTACCACTCGGCAGATGGCGCGGCTGCGTAAAACTTATACAGCTCGACTCATCACGCAGGAATCGTTTACTTCCCACGGTTTTGCCGGAGAAGTATTGGGCAGTCGTTCCCCCAAAGCCTCTCTCTCCCTTTCTGAGGCTGGACGCATCTCTCACTCTCTCCCTGCTTGTGTGCCCAGAAGGTCTATAGCTCATGTAACTTCAAACCGAGCAGCTGATCCCGATGTCCAGCATTCTCGCCAGGACTCGGCCCAGATTTGCAGAAAGTCAACGGTCGAAACACCGCTGCATCACCTTCAAAGGCCAGAGAGTCACAGAATCCGCAGGCTGCAATTTTGCGTTTCATCTTCGTGCACAGACTTTGCTTCAAACGATCGCCGGAACTTGCCTTACGCGCCTGACCAAACATAACACCCGCCATAGTACATGGGGCCAAAGCAGCAGAAGGCTACGAGTGAAACACACGCGGGACGAGATAGATCTCAGCTTCAAACTGAGAGGTTGCTAGGAATTCCGAAGTCTCAGGTATTGCTTCCATTCCTAGGCCCGTCGTTGATTTCCTGTTACACTGTCGGAGCTGGCATACTGGGGATCTGAGGGGTCGTCGTGGCAATTCCAGGCCTTCCAAGCCCGCATCTTCTCCGCACATGTTTTGACTCCACTTTTTGCTACCTCCGGCCCTTGATGCCCTCAGCTCTTGCCTTGCGAGGCTGCCTGCGATGTGCCGTGGCAACAGGGCACGGCAGCGGAAAGGCTGGTGCCTAAGAACTCGAGGACCGGCTGCAAGACTTCGCCGGGAAGGCTCGGGGCCATGGCCGAGCCAAGCTGGGCCAAACAGCTTCGGCATCCTTCGGCCTTCGGCCCTGGGCCCCTTGGCCCCTTCCCTTGGGCATTTTTTTATACTGAGGAGACCCGCGAGATGTCTCGTGACGCGAAGCTGCGAGCTGCACGAGGCAATTAAGTTGGCCCGAGCTTCTCACCCTGTTCACTAACGTGTTGTCGCCAAAGGCGAGCAAGGCGGGAGACAACCTGTAGATGCAAACTTTGAGTCCATACCGGAAGCAGGCAGCTTGAGGCTGCACCTGCTCTTCCGGATCATCCTGCGGTGGCCTTGGTGGGCAAATCGTTTCGTTTTGGCAGAAGCGGAAACGTGATAACTTCTGTTTACGAGCTTTTGCATCAAAGTGTCAACATTCGCAAGAGATCTCAAGCATGATCCTGTTTTCCGTTCTTGCCGCTACGGCCGTAGTCTTCGTACTGCACTCCACTGCGATTGGATGCTTCTGCCGCTGCAGCAAAAGGTCCGAGCCGGACCCCTTGTCGCAGAGGAGGATGCTTCACGACAGGTACCTGTACAGCAGCTCTGCACCATTGAAGGATTTGTTCAAAAAGTAACTGCTGCAGGTCTGTACAGCACTATGGGTGCACGGATGGGATACCCGCAAAGTCAGTCAGCAGATGTTCGTTGACTTTGCAGGCTGCCCCTGTACATCTAGAAAATAGGAATCTGGCACGAAGCTCGCCGCAACCTCACTCAACACATGTTCGTGGAGTTTGCAGGCTGCCCCTGTACACCTCGCGTGCCCCTCGTTTCCAACTGAGGGGCTCTATACATGCCTTCCACGTGCAGCCGACGCCCAGCAGCTGTGGTTCCACCCAGTGCTGGGGGCAAGCTGCATGGCAACCGAGAGGTGCAGTGCCTTGGACTAAACAACATCCTGCTAGCAGGATCTCGGATGTGCTTCTTCATGCATGGTCTGCAGCTGCTTTGTTCTGCCTCTTTCGCTGCTTGGCCAGTTTGCGATTCTCGAATCTCCGCTTTGCCAGCTCTCCGTCCACGCAAAGGTGGCAGTGGAGACAGTCAGCACCTCTGGTGCAGCTGCCAGGTCGCCAGTACCAGGCACAGGGCTTGCACAGCTTAGCCTCATGCATGGTGGATCCGACAGACTCTGAAGGCTGCAAGGCTTTTGTTCTCCTCCTTGAGCTTGAGCTACTGACCGAACGTGGCGAAGCAGAAGTGTGGCTCGAGGTCTCCGTGGTCTCCGTACTGGTGTCCACTTCGAGGTCCCATGAGCTGCCTCCCTGCATTGAGTCGCCAACCATGGTCGTCGACAGACTCCGATCACTGCCAACACGCGTGCGTGCCAGTTTCCAAGCTGTACGTAAGTCCGGCACGGATTCTGCGCCTGGCGAGGCCGGATCAGCTTCTTTACACCGGGTGCTGTGCTCATCGCGCACCGGCCCCCGGATAAGCTTCGGGACTTCCTGGTTGAGTCGCTCTTCACGAGTGTGCTCGCTCGCCACTGGGCTCGACAACATGGGCATGCTGTGGCAACGCCTCAAATCGGTCGTGCTGGGGACATACTCTAGAAAGCTGTGCTTCTCCACCAGGACGAAGTGCATCACCTCCTCGGTCTGGGCGGCCGCCATCTGCTGAATGCCTTCTGTGGAGCCAGGGGCAACTATTCTTTCCTTGCTTCCCGAGCAGCTGCAAAACGTCTTGTGGCAGCTGGTCAAACCTCTCAGACTCTAAGCAAGCATGTTGTCGTGTCAGAGTACCAGATTACCTGCTCAAAACTTCGCTTAAGGGTGCAGATTACCTGCTCAAAACTTCGCTTAAGGGTGCAGGTTGCCTGTTTGCCACTGGTCGTCTAAATCCATGTGCCGGCATTCCTTCCCTCTCAGTTGCAACTCTTGAGTTGCTTCCGCAACGTCCAGCTGCACCCTTGCATCATTCTGGTTCTGGAGTCCGAGGCCCAGGCTCTGCAACGACAGATTCCTCGCAGTTCTCCTAATCCGCGCTCACAGCTGGGTCAGGCCGCATGAAATCATTGGACTCTCGGCGCGTGACCTCTGAGCAGGCAGGCTCCTGTTCGAGATGGCACGGAGCCGAGCGAACAGACACGTCTTTTGCCAACTTCCAACAAAATACAGCCCTTGCATGCTGCATGTGTTGTGGCTGCAATGTGACACGAGGCCTTTCTTTCCACATTCCACAACAGACATGCCAAGGCTGCGTTCACAAGCTAGCTATCAGCAGTTGCTTGTCGATGCGCAAGCCCTGCGACCACAATGTGACAGACTTGCTTTAGCCATCTCCTTCCGCATCCCTTCAACCGCCTGACCCTCAAAGATTCCGCTCTAGAAACACCCCGTTCAGCAGTTCCAGGAGCCGTGGGTCTAGGGATCGGAAAGGCTCTCAGCTCACAGATCAACAGCCCCTACGGCCACCCGGATTCCCTCAAGGGGCCTTGTCCTCTGCACTCTGTGCGACAATGAAAAAGTCCTCCGAGTCTTCGTCGGAATCGCTCAACTGAGCAGCGATGTATAGCATGACAACTCAATCATGAGCTCCCAGCATGACTGCTGATTGGCTCCTGGGCACTTGCTCATGACTCACAGCCGCAACGTAAGGATGCTGCCATGAGGTAAATATGCTTCTGCCCACGGCAGCCGGGGTACCGAAACTGGAACCTGCCAAGTTCGAGTTTTCGTCTGTGCCCTCAAAGCCAGTCGGCAACAAACCTGTCATGCCCATCCGTCTCTCCGTGAAGTTGTCGAGGCACCAAGACAAGCGAAAACTCGCTACTGCACCACAACTCACAAGAATAGATACCTTGACTTAAGACATGCTTCTTAGCTGCAGATGAATGCTAGAAGAAACAACTCTCCCGCTTTCTCCGCTTACAGTGCACCTGCCATCTGACTGAAATGCCCGGGCCTGGCTTCGGAGCCATGAAGACGACAAGAAAAGGCGAGTTTTCTCTGGAGCCCAAATTCGACAGGAGTAGATGATTCATGCGTTATGCTCATGCATGCCAGTACACGTACGAGGTGTATGTATGACTCTAGATGTATTAGTATTTCCATGTATGACATGGTATGCTGCGCTTGGTGAGATTTGAAGCGTGAACTCTTTAGCTAGAAATGGAAGCATTAAGCACGACAAGCCTTCAGAAAGCTTTTTGCTATTTAGACCCGCAGCGCGAAAGGAAAGAGTCGAGGCGAATTGGCCTCAGAAGGCCACGAACTGACGGAGCCGGTGTCTCAGCAGCAAAGCGAAGCTTACTTCTCGCCCGTGCCTGCATCCAACTGGCAAAGAATTCCCAAATCTCGGGCAGGCCAGCCTGACCATGCAAAACCAGGAATGGAGAGATCAATCAAGGCCAAGAGCATTCCCCCCGAGCGACAGCTCCAAAGAGCTGCATGCGCCTGGCCTGCACGTCGCGGATTTTGTAGTACAATCGTCGCGTCCCTCGCCCGGACATCAACCAAGATCACTGAGACCGACAATGTCTTGCGTTCTGTGAATCCCGCAATCGATGCTGATGCCGTTTGCAGAGATGAAGGCCTGCAGGAATGGAAGCAAAGAGATGGGGAAGGCAGTGAAAGTACAGGTCTTTGGGGAAATCCGCAGGTATGCCATCACAGCAGCCGCTTTTCTGCTCCCGATTCGCGGTGCCATTGTATGTGATTGCACCCACCGGTCATTCCCGTCAGGGCTCAAGATTGACAGCTGGACTCGATCTTCGCAGCTTTGAGAGCTGGGACCTTAAGCACAAGTCCCGTGCCTGAAACAAAGATTCCTCACAAGACGACGGCAAGTGGGCAAGGCCTGGCCTCGTGAGAGCTGTTGAGCTCAGCAAAGTTATAGCACTCCTCACGACGGAGCCCCGCGTGTCAATCTGCAGAGCGTACTAAACCCGGATGCCGAGTGGCAGTGTATGGTCGATGGTGCAGCACGATCTTCTCATGAGCCTCCTGGGAAGCCGCACACGGCGGTTTCGCCGCCTGAAGCTTTCCGTACACCAGCCGGTTTTTCGAAGGACTTGGACAGGCTTGCAGCGATCCAACCGTGCTGAGATGCCGCCGAGATTGCAGGGCAAAGGCCAGCTGGGCCATCAGGCCCTGCGGTGACGTTCGAAGCCACCCAGAACACCTTCCAGTTCAAAGGCAAACCGATGCTACAGGCTGACAGTACGGAGGCAGCCTCGTCTGTGGCTTTTCCCCTGGAGCTTGTCTTCTCGCTTCGACAGCAGATGCCAGCGGAAGCATGTTTCTGGAGCCATTCGTAGGCGGAGCTGCTGACGGCCTGCGCACTATCACAAGCAACGACTTGCGGCTGTAAAGATCCCCCACAGGCCTGAACTTCTGCGTGAAGAAGTTCAGCAACACGACGTGCGAGATCTCCAGTCGAAGTGAGACTCTGGACTCTCGCAACCTGTCCTACCTTGTTTTCCTGCGGTTCCGTATCCCCGACAAGGAGTCCACAGCTGGCATCCGCCACAGCAGCCAGTGATCGCGCAATAACCACACTAGCATTACCCTACACGTTCGCAGTTTCACAATTCGTCGTCGTGCAAAATCCGTACAAGCACATCTGTAAATACACTGCACTTTTCGGGGAATCAGAATTCCCGCTATTTCCGCCGAGTTGGGTGGCTCAAGGGCTTGTTGCATATCCTGGCCTGTGTGCAACTCTTTCAGCTGAGAGTGTCGCACCGTGGCCCGGAGATCGGTGGCCACAGCGGCCTCGGGCCACTCGAAAAGCCGCACATTGCGACTGCACCACTACGTGTACCAGTATCATCCAAGACACCAGGCCGCCCACTCCACCTAGCACAGGCCATGGTGCATGGTACCTCTACTCGGATTCGAATCTTCAGACCCGGCCTGTCGCGAGCTTGTTCAGCGAGGCAAGGAACTGGGAAAAGTTTCCTGCAGGTCTTCACAGACCCATGACATCCCAAGAATCGGACTAGCCGGGTGCCTGCAAGCTCTTCTCCTTTGATCTTCTTCAGGGCCTTCTCCTCATCCACGTTGCGGACGCTCAGCGGGAGCCAGAAGCTGTGCTTCGAGTGATGTCCAAAATCCGTGTCACCTGGGTGCCCACCGCTCAACCTTCGCTTCATGGCGCTTCCACGCTGACACTGCCTTTTTGGGCGAAACTGGGCCACCTGCTCTGAGGTTCAGCGTCAAACGGGAAGGAATCCCCGAGCTTTTCCTTGGATGCCAAACGCCTATGAACGCCTCGTAAAAAGGCACGAATGACTGCAACTTCTGAACAACTGGCCAGAAAGAACTGATTCGGGCGAGCTGCGCCCACAGCCGTGGCTATGTGTTCCTGAGGCTGCCGGCCCTCCCAACCCTCGAAGCCACACCCCCTTGGGGCCCTTTGTGTGCCTTCAGCTTGGCTCGGATGAGACGGATGAACTCATCCTGGCTCATCTTCTTGACAGCCTCGTCTCCCAGGCTCGGGTCCACAGCTTTCGCCATGGCGAGCCTGCTTTCCAGCTCCACCTTGGTTTGGGGTTTAGGGTTTAGGGTTTTTTGCTTCCTACTTAGCAAGGACGAGCCCGCATTGCAGGGTAATGTCTTCACTTTTGGATGTGCAAGGGCAGGCCTCAGTTTAAGGTTTGCCAATTACCCAGAAGCATCTGTCACAGAACTCCCAGTCAGGAGGTTTTTTTTGTTGAGCACCTTTTTCCACCTCGCTAGTCTTAGGCCAGCAGAATCCACATTGTGCCTAGGGTTTAGGGTTTAGGTTTAGGGTTTAGGGGTTCCAGGCATCCTGGAACAACCTCCACTCAGCCATACTCAGCCATAGGCTGCCGAGGTGCCCTCAGAAAGAGTTTGAGGCCTTCCGGCGCAGGAAGCTTGTCGGGCTTCGGCAAGTCGGGGGGAGGAGGCACAACCTCAGAAGCAAAACCAACGTTGGACAGGCCTTAACCAAAACCTCAGCGTGCATCAGGCAGCGGAGGTGTCTGCATCTACCCCCATCGTCAAGAGCTGCGTGTTGAAGATCTCCGGTATCTTCCGCATCCACTTGATCTTTAAGAATTCCTTCACTCTCCTTGCCAGAGGCTGGAGACTCGATTCTGCAAAGAGTGGACCAGAGGAATTAGCGTGCTGCCCGGATTCTGGTGTACAGCATCATACCTATACGACAAGGATCGCTAAACAGAAGGTGGCAGAGATGACAACATTGAAGCAAGCTCGGAGCAAATACGCCAAGTTGCTCCTTTTGAGCCTCGTTACACGACTCACAACGGCACTGAAGACTAGACTTCAGGATTGCGAGAAGTCTGAAGTATTGCGGGATTGAACAACCACAGTCCCTAAACACAACATCCTTCTTGAGGCGAGGCACTCCCAGAGGTGGGAACAATAATGGCAACGTCGTGAGCGTAGAATTGAATTCCTGCAGCTCTTCCGCATGCTGGAGCAGTTTCGTTTGCACATGCATGTGCAGCTACCGTTGCTGCCGCTGAGGTGTTTTGGTGTGTGTTGGGCGTCCATTTGCTTGAGATACATGCAGAAAAATTTGCTCAAGTGCATGGATGCTTGTCTACCAATCTGTCGCTGTGCCTGTGAGGGTAGCCATTGTCTGTGTATGTGCGTGCGCGGATATTGCCGTAACAAAGGCAACACCATAGGCTCAGTACAATTGAACCGCTCCTTTCACTGTATCGCAACATACGTTTGGCGCCCAATGCCCCGATGGGTCTGGGGGTTTGCACACCTGGACGTTGACGAACACCGTGTAACACCGCCACACTCCACTTGCACAAGTGGAATTTGGGCCTTCTCGCTTTCATAGGAACATCCAATGTTTCGGGGTCCCGCCATAACTTCCGTTCACTGTTTGCACCCTGCATCCCTGCAGAGTCTGGGGCTCGACCCGCTCATTGTCTTGAACTCTTGGAAAGGGCTGCCGGGTGGACTCGGTTACGTTTTGGAAGCTCCGCGGGTTGGCTGCGGGAGGTTTGGGGCTCTTAGGCTTGTGATGCTCGTCACATCTCGTTACAAATTCCGTGTGCTGTTCGAGGTCCGGCGATGTCCCTCATTCAGCGAAGCGTGCCGCGTGCATCGCGTGGCTCGTAGCAGCCGTCGTCCGTCAGCCAGCGCTGCAGTGGATGTTCGATCGACATCATGCCTCTCCCGAACACACATTCGCCTGGTCTCCCCTCGTTTGGAGCTTGTGCTGGCAATCTGTCTTGAGCAAGAGTACAAAATGCTCTACAACTTTACTTACCTACAAGAACCAAAACGTTATGAAGTGCTAGCGTACATGCGCTCATGTCACCCCTGGCATGTCATTGTTACTGGACGTCTCGGGCCTCGCTGGTCTGGCTGGCCAGAACGTCCTTGAGCTTGTAGCCTGCGCATGCCCGACAGCAGTCTTCTATGATTACACGTTACAACAGATTACGACCGTCTACCAGCGCTAAGTTAGATAGCACTGCACGATGTCTGCTGTTTCTGCTCCTACCCTTCCAGAGAATGTCACACGTTTGCGTCCGAACACGGACATCTGTCCAAGATACCTGTTATTTCGACCATGAGCCGAATGTCATGTCCTGAGCTCTCACAATGGACACCAGGAGGGGCTGCAGACCGTCGAGTGAAGAATCTCTGACCAAGCATCCTTCTGATCCGTCTTTGGCCAGAATGCATTTCAATCCTTCCTTCCGCGCCACAGCAACAGGGATCTTCATCTCTCTGGCAATTCGCAGGTATCCGTGAGAGTGCAGGTGCTGCCTTCTCCAGCAGCGGTGGAAGGTCTCTGACTATAGCTGATGCAAGGGTGTCCAAGCCGTCGCTCTGGGGCATGAACATGTAGATCAAGTCGCCAAGGCTGGGCGGAACAGGCCGGCTATGTATCTGTACCAGCATCTGGGGCAGCAGCGGACAAAGACTAGCTGAGGTGGCAGCATGGACCCGTCTTCCTTTTTGAGAGCTGCCTGAGGCGGACGGCTGTGGAGGGTGGAGCGGCCGCTTGGGACCAGCTGCACTATCATGTACCACTGTAGCTTCAGGACAAGTTGCACTTTCATCATTCACAGTCCTGAGTCATGTGCGATATCTGCATGTGCGAGGCCGTCTATTGTCTAGATCCTCTGACAGCCGAGAGTCAGCTGCACTTGGAATGGAGGCAGCTTGGGAGTGACAGGGCTATCTAAATCGACTGGATCCACCCACTCGCCATCCTGATCTGGGTCCGCCTCTCTCCTGTCCTCGGCTGTGGCAACATGGCCAGGCATTCGATACAAGCTGATTTGCCAGGGGGCGTCGTTTTGCGGCCGCAGTGCGCCGGCATGGAGCAAGAGGGCGATGTATGCGCAGCATAGACGACGCATGCCCAGAGCCTTCTCACGCACGACAAACACGTATGGGCTTGGGCGTCCTTCCACAGCTTCTCTGGGGTCGATGTGAGACCAACCCCAGAAAGTGAGAATATTACAACCGCTGGGGAAGCCACACTGACCCACCTTCAAAACCTGCAATGTCGTGCACACTACAGAACCAACCAATGTCCCTTTCTTTAAAATGTTCGGGATGCTTCCCGCGTCGTGTGCTAAATCCCTGCTCAACTAGTGGAACTCGGCAGCCCAGGCGAGGAATCTGAGGTCCTGTCGAGCTGACGTAAGTCGAATTTGGCAGACCTCATTCGGAGCTCATCTCGCGTGTTCCTATGTAAACCACTCGCTCGAGATTCTTGCTGCGATGCAACCAGAAAGCTCAATCCATTGCCGGGGAAGCCTGTCCCAAGCCCCAACCCCTGACACTTTTTTGAGCCAGGTCAGGCTGCAAAAAAGACACTTCTGCACACGAGATCACACAAGCACCATAGGCACGAAGAAAGATACTAGTCAAGCTACCACGAGACCTTGTTGTAGCAATCAAACTCGTCCATTGGCACTTCTGTGAAAGCGCGGAAGGCACTTCGCACCTAGAGCAGGTGCAGACAGTCCGAACAGGCCAGGCAGTCGCTACAGCTGCCCTTCCATCTTGGCACTCTGTGGCACCGGGCTGACTCGTGTGCGAACACGGCATCATGCCCGCCAAACCTGCGTGAACCCCTGCAAGCCGACTTCGGAAGTGAGTGGTCGTATAAAGGCTGGTGAAAAACTGTCGGGTTCTGGCGCAATCAAGTCGTATCCGAATCGCCGAAGCCTCAAGACATCTCAAGACGCCAGCTAGATGCAAAGAGAGCCTCATATAGTCTCGTATGTCCTCATGGCAGCGCGAGGCTTTGGCAACTGCACCTCGTAGGAAAGTGAGCACCCTCGAATCGGGACCTGGATCCAGGTCTGGCGACATGCGCCCGGAGAAGCTACGCAAACTTCTCAACTGAACGCCATAGCCTCCTCTGGCTTCGAGAAGTTCGCGAAAAAGTGCCACAGCCTCGACTGAATGACAAAAACGATGACAGAGAAGGATGCCTCTCCGTGATGGCGTGGCTCAGCACCCGGCTCCGGATGGTACAACATGGCCCACCTCATCTCAAACAGGCTCCAGTGGCTACTTGATGCGGTGTGGAATAAGTTTGCAGCTGGTACGGCGGTGGAACCGAGGGATTGGCCTTTCAGAAAGCTCTCAACTCTGCCTTCTCTCGCGTCGAAAACCAAAAACTTGACACTTGGCCTCCACAAGAACGATCCGTGCTCGGACTTCCGGCCTTGCGTGCTTCCAGGGATGGCCCTCATGGGCTCCATCGTCGCACTGCGATTGCCATGCACTGACACGTGTATCTGTCCAATGCCTAGTGTCCTGGCCCTTCCAGAAGTTCGATGCTTATGGCAGAACATGGCCAAAACTTTAGCTGCGAGAGGAGTGGCAGTAGCACACGTACCACACTTGCACACGTCCGAGTCCTACGGAACTGTGGGCGAGGGATCTCACGGGATGCAGAAGAACGTGAGACCGCAACAGGAGTGTTTCCAAGACCGGGCAGTCGAACGAGTCGATGTCCACCTGGTCAGCGCTCTTTGACACCTCTACTGCAGTGCTCTTCCGTCGCAAACATGTAGATTTGTCCCGCAGCCAACTAAGCAGCTGCCAACAGCTCTCGATCTGTCAGAAAATTACCTGCTCTACCTCAATAATCCTTAATCTACCTTTGCAGGCATCAACATGGAGCCAGGAAAGGCAGGCAAGAAGCACTGAGCACATATGAACAGGAATGGCGACACGCCAGTTGGCAGAGATTAAGACACCACCCAAGAGCGGTCGTGCAGGAAGTGCAGGTCATGATGCTTGCAGTGGTGCTCGTGATATCGTGATAGTCTTGGTAGTTGTAAGAAGCTTGGTTGCGGTGAAAAACTTGGCGGTCGTGGTCGTGGAGATGCTGATGATGGCCGCAGTGGCGGTACCGTTGGTGATTGTTAGTTATTGCGGCTGTGACAGCTGTGGAGGTGGGCTTCACACCAGTTAACATCCCCGCACAAATCCCCCCGAGCCACCAGCGAGGACTCAGGCAACTAAAGTGTCATGTCATCACACTCAGAACCTACACCAGCCTTCATCACGTCTATCTCACTCGCGTCTGACCTTGACACAGATGGCACAGACTGCACGGCTTGGCATAGAGACAAAGTGAAAGAGACATAGAAAGAGACAGGGAGAGAGAAGAAAGAGTGAGAGGAGGGAGAGAGAAAAAGAGAGAGAGACAGAGAGAGAGAGAGAGAGAGAGAGACAGAGACCACTCGGCTTCAGTTGCCACATTGACGCCGCAACAGCCTCCCAGCTCGGGCCCAGGTGCGAACACTAACCCTCAATCCGAATACGAAGGAGCCAGTCAGCTGTAAGAGCACCTATGCCTCGCTCGACTGCTATCGCCAAGTTGAAGCGAGGAGCGAGAAGAGCGCCCCCGGCACCCTCACACCACCCAGCACAAAGAAAAGCTGTACCGAAGTCAGTAGCCAGCTGGGCCCCGGATTTGGGACCGAGCCGGATGCTGCGCAGGCACATCATGCGGTCATCACCGAGCGTGGGACCATGCCACACCAAGTGCTTACAGTGGTGCTGATACTCAGGCCATGACTGCCAGCAGCAAGCACAACATGTGAGGGTCGAGATTTCAACAAACTGCGGCTGCAAGCGCCTTTGCAAGCTGTAGCTTCCGAACGGGCCGACTTTCCCAGACCAAACTAGGGGTCCCAAAATGGCCGATGTCGCTGGCGGTGTCCGCCGGCCACCGACATGGTGGCAGCGATTCGGGGCTGGCAATGCTGATGGCATTTGGCGCAACTGCATCATGTCAAAGCTCCTTCCTGGAGAGGGCGAGAGAGAGAGGGACAAGGGGCGAAGGAGGAAGAGAGGGAGGGAGAGGGAGGGGCGACAGAAGCGGAAAGGTGCTTCCTCAACAATGCCCGAGAAAATGCTATGGATGCTGCAGAACTGGCCGGATCATGTCGAGGATGCCCTGCGGCGTGGCCTGAACAATGCACACCAGCTGAAGGTCACAGGGCCTGCCCAAGCTCTTCGCCTCAGAGCAGACTACCTTCACGTTGGGCAGGGCCTCTCGGTGACCTACAGGGCAAAGTTAATGGCTACTTGTGACGCTCCACTTGCCAGCTGGAGTCTGCAGGGCTCTATGCTGAGGCACGCGCGCGAACACAATCCTGGCTGGCGCTCCACGGCAACGCCGCTGGCGTTTGTGGATCCTTGTGCATGGCGGGAAGCCAGGAGCGACTCAGCCAGCATGCCGAACAGCAAAGGTGTCCGAGTCAGAGACGTGCGTACTCATACAGCGGGTCATCAATACTGTGCACACGGAGCCAATTCTGCACCGGTTCGACAACCAGTAATCTCAGGCGTGCACTGTCCGTCGTGTGCGCCGACATTTATGTAGCGCCTGGCAAATCACCAATCCACTCGACTGGACGGAAAGCAGAGAGTAAACTCACGTCCGTTCGGTTGGAAAGTGCGGCCTGGTCAACGTAAAGCCGGCATTCACGATCATCTGCATAGTTGACCATATATTCTGCGTGTCCACCTCAGCATGACATCAGCACAACGTTTGCACCCTTAGGCCTTTAAACTTTTAAGAGGTCCAACAAGGAGCTTCATGCCCCTGGTCATTGACATAGCTTGAACTACAGACTGACCGGCCCTGTCTTCCTACAAGTAGCTCAGTTCAAAGGTCGCACCGTGGCATTGGGCAACTGCAAAGCTTCGGCCCAGGCGAGCTGCTCGTTGCAAACAAACTCGCCAGAGGAGTGTCGCCGACGGTGCTTGGAGATGGTCTCCTCCCGAGGAAGTTTGGGTGCTCTCAGCACACGCCAAAAAGCAAATCCTCCCAAACCACCGTGGACAGGTTTAGTCGCGAACACCGGCTGAAGCCCAATCATAGCTGCAACTCTTCACTGACACAAAGCTTTCCAAGCTTCTCGACAAGGAACACCTAATTATGCCATGCCAATTGACAGTGCAGACAAGGTCATGCGTGGCCTGATACTCCTCAACATTTGCCAGGAAGTCCTGCAATGCGGAACTTCGCGACCTACGAGTCTCGTGTAGCTGCGCAGAACTTGCGGACAACGATCCAGGGTTGGCCATTTTAGCACCACAGTGTCTCATCGTAGCACTTGATCTAGCGCAACCTAGTGTGGTGTTGATCACCGAGTTGAGTCGGGATCAATGGTTTCGCTTGGCGAAACCCGGAGCATAGGTGCGGAGGTTCGGCCAAGCACCGAAACCCGCAGTAAGATTCAGTCTTCCGTGCTTGTCTGGCTATGGAGAAGAGTGTGGTAGTCGCTTGGTCCATTCAAGCTAGGAAGTCTGAAATTTTTTCCGCGCGTTTGCATCATCTAGATTGTGGGACACGCCGTTGACTGGCCGTGCTCTCAGACCCTCCGAGGCCAAGCTCGAAGCGCATGCTGAGAGCCTGGGGCAGAAGTAGCCGTGGCCGCGGCCGGGGTTGGCTTCAAGGTGGGCTTTCACCAAGGAGGGGCCATTTTTCTGCCAAGTGTCTGCCTTTGGCGCTCCGATGGCGGATCAAAGTCGTTCCCTGGCGGCTTGTACTCTGGCCTGCCAGGATTTCGACGAGGCGGCGCCGAAAACAAGGCATCGCTTTGTCATCGCTCGCTCTTCACGGCCCTGGGCCACTGGCCTTCGGACTCGGAGGCAGCCCCCCTTGAGCTTGCCACCGAGCAACCACCAAGACTGAAGACCTCCAAGCCTGGGCTACGCAGGGCAACTGCTGGGGACTTCAGAATGATCTGGTCCGAAGTGCCATCCGACTGACAGCCAGGTCTCGGACCCGGCGGTAGCTACAAGCTCATGTTCCAACAAGTAGCATCGGGCACCCTCATCATCAACTGCTTCAGACAAGGCTCATCTCTAAAACTGCCACGCAGAGCTGCGTCACAAAGTTCACCGCCAGGAGCATGATTGAGACATAAAGGTGCCACTGATAAGACATTAAGTTCAGGTACAGGTATTCCACGAGTGCATCCTCATAAACAAGCTCACGTGCAGCTGGCAATGCGTAACACTGAGCAGCAAGCAGCAAGAGCAAACGGAAGGCATAACCGAGACTGGGATCGTACCGTTCGACTTTTCGAGCTGCGTCTTTTTTCCTCGGTCCAATCACTGGTGATGTGCCGGCTCTTTAGGGGGCGAACAGCTCCCTCTTCCTTCCTTCCTCTCTTTCCTTCTCCGTGCAAGCCGGGTCTCTGTGCTCGCTCTCCCGATGTGGCTTCGGGCAGGGAGGCGCAGTTTGGGTCCGGCCGCAGCACAGCCCAAGCCAGGAGAAGCAGCGACTGGCGGCTCGTTTTGGCTCGGGGTTTGGTTTCGGGGGTCTCGAACTACTGACCGCTTCACTGTACTTGAAAACAAGCAGGATTTCGAGAGAATCTCGAAAGAGGCGTGGAGTTCTCTGCTGGAAGACAGAGTCAATGCCAGATTCCTGCCTTCTCGATGACTGTGAGGCCCTGAAACGTTAGGATGAAGGCCACGAGCAGTGTGCCATATTGCCCTGCCAAGATCAGAAGGAGCGTAAAGCGAGTATGGTTTGATCGCTGTTACTACTTATGTTAAATAATGCATAAATTGCTACTCTTGCCAATTATGATTTACTCTTACTTGTTTCTGGCACTCACACTCGGACAATCTTACTGTTACTACTGTCGTTACACGTACTATCGTCATCTTTGAGTGGACACGGAGCTGCCTCCCAAGGACTGGCTGTTCAGAACCACAGGCACAGAGCATATCCAAAACACGCCGGAAACCATCCTTACATGCTGGCCTACCAGGAGGAGACACAAGCAGTTGAAGCATGTGGTGGCCACTAGCTGCTGTCCCAGCAACATGAGGATAGTAGGCTTTCCGATGACACGCCACAATGCCAGAATAAAGTAGTTCACCAAGATCAGTAGCACAACAGATCGAATCTGATCCACCATGGTGCCAAAGACCACCTTGGCTCCGAAACGACGAGAGTGCAAGAAGTCTTTCTCAAATGGGTTTGACAGATCCGACTTTGAGGCTTCGACCGCGAGCATGACAACAAAGAAATACAGTGCAACGGCGAGCTCCATCATGCGGGCATAGACAGGGGCCCGCTTGTGTTTCAGCTTGTCGAACAACCAGACCTCAGCTGGGGCAGTGCTACCTCCTGAATCAGGAAATCTTGTCGCATTCGCAACTCCGTTACTTGCTGGTACGAGTACTTGCTGTGCACCTTCCTTGGCTTTCCTCTTTTGCTTGCTGCCTGGCCCCTGAGCCCTGAAGATCCTGCGACCCATCTCAGCCGTGCAGCATCGTATAAGTTCGCTCGGGGATCGGCCTTGCTCGCTGCAAGTCGCTCCTCAAGATTTACCACTTTGGTGTCCATGGGGCCTCAGTCATAAGCATAAAACATTTCCATCCTGAACTTGCAGCACCCTCGTCGCTGCAGGCCAGGCTGCGATCGGCATTGGACGCCCCGACTATGAAGCACCAAAACTCGGACAAATCGTCGCCTGAGAGAGACCCAAGCGTGCAAGGCCTCCACAGCCGTACTTACTCACAAAGCCCAACTCACAGCTGGGTTCGAAAGAGTACCAATCACGAATCTACATCTGCCTGCATCTGCCCCGACATGCAAGTCTCCGGAGCTTGTCAAAGACGAACCCCTAAGATTGACCCTGCAATCCTTCGAATTTGCGTATGCTCCAGGGTCAGACAAGGGGCGAATCGACCATAGGGTTGGCTGTGGGCAGAAAAGGATAGGCCCAACGACCCACACCTTAACTGATGATGTCCACAACACTGCCACCGGAGTAAGTGCCACAGCATTTTCTGCGCCATCAACAGAGACATGTGAGTTTCATACTTCCGAAGCCCCGTCTTACACTCCAAGGATCCACGGCTGTACCCAGCAGAATCATCATGGGCAGCGCGGCGACGTTAAAAGTCTCTGCCAAGAACCTACGACATCGACTGAAATTCTGATCTGAACTGTCAGCGCAAGGAATCGGTTGGTTGCTGGCAAGCCTATAGACGGCATACATGATCAGAATTCGCAAGGCAGGATAGTAATGACTTTCCTCGGTAAACACGCCCGCTCTGACGACGGCGGGCAAGCACACAAGAGATTGCAGAAAGGTGCGCTTTAAGTCAAGTGCAAGCGACTCTGTAGAAGAAGTAGCAATCTCCTGGACTTGGGTATGCTTTCAAGTTCACCAGCACATGAATTTTGGTTGAATCAAGTTTCGCCAGCCGTAGTGGTCATTCGCCATAGGTCGCCCAGTGGAGATGTAGTTCGCAAGGCCCGTCTGCATCGTTGAGCCCACAGCTTCTGCGATGGACTTGTTCATAAAAGTGAACCTTGGAAAGCACCAAACGCCGACCTCCAGCTACCTGAAGTTGCACATGGCAACTCTAAGTCCCCGAGGTCAGCACACGAGCACCGCGCCTGGCACAGATGGCCTCGGTTCGAGACAGCGTAGCCACTCCCCTAAATACGTGAGGGGAGCCGCCCCGCGCCAATGTGACTCACAGCCAAGGCCAGGGCAGGAAACGGATGATGCCCTCCATGACTCCAAATTCCAAGGTCAGCTCCATCAAACGCGGGAACCTGAAACGAACCACATGCACACAATCTCACAAAGTTCAGTGAAGAACTTGCCACTTGCTGTGCCAAGCAAGGCTTGCCAAGAAACATCGCAAGCGTTCCGAAGGAAATAACCCATTCAGCAGCCAGCAGAGAGTCCAACTTGCCAACATCATCGAGGCTTTTGGAGGACAGGGTCAAGAGAACAAAGATCACGACCTCTGCACACGCCGCGGCAACAGCAACAGCTAATAACAACACGAAACGTTCTGCTGAGCAGCATAAATCCTCATCGAAAGGTCTGTCACGACGTTGTACAGGTAGAACCCCACTGATGCAAAATAGAAGGAGAAGCTGTCGGCTATGTTCAAGCTGCCCGTCCTGTACGACCAGTCAGGAGTGAGTCAACCGAACTCGAGATGGACAAAACTCGTCAACGACGTCAGATCGCACTCGGAGCAGAAGATCAGCCGAAGCACAGGATCTTCAGATCTCTTGAACGCATGACGCCGACATTGCCGCTGGCCACTTTGGTAAAGAACAAGGATGCAGAGTTGAAGGACACCTCTCTGCCTTTCTCCCACTCTAGGCAGTCCACATGCTTCGAAGTTTCTCCACCTGAGATCCACCGCAATCACTCTTCGGGATATGTTGGCCAAAACACCTGCGACTGTAACGGGCCCTGCGCCCATTGTGCAGCATAGCGGCGCATGAGCACATTGAAACCAGCAAAGATGTCTTCGGAAAGGTTCAGGATGGGAGATGCTTTCGAGACAGAACCACGGTTGGAGGCCCAAAAGGCATCGAAGAAGTCGGGATGCCTGAGGACGGGAGGCACTTTGACACGCTCAGCATCAGCTGTTCCTTGCCTCCTGCAGACCTCAAACGTGTCTCTTGCAGGCAAGGCTCCCGTAGTGCATTCGTGCACCAAGCCCCGCCAGGAAACGCTGGCAAATAGTTCCGAAGGTCCACTCTGCGTCTGCCATGGCAGCACCTCTCAAGAATTCATGCGCGAACCAGAACAGGAACGCTGTGAAGGGTGGCCACCTACTGCACCGTGGCTCCCAGTGAAGATGTGCTCACGGAAGCCGATGATGCGTGCTTGGACCGTCCTGCACACATCGCTCACGCGAGCTGCTCTGCGTGTGAGGCAGAGCAGACCTGCGGTCACAGCCCGGAGGCTGGAAATGCCGCAGCACGAAGGGCACCTTGCAGGCCTGGACGAGCGGAGGAGTCGGGAAATGTGGAGAAATGTTGAAGGCCGGGGCCTCCCCGAAGAAGGCACCCATGTTCGCATCCATCATCTGCAGGTAGTGGCCCGGCGCAAAGCCTTGGTCTGTTCAGTCTGTCCCTCTCTGTTCCACTGCCACTTCACAACGGAGATCGTGGCAGGCAGGAAGCGAAGCGCTCCCAGCTGGTTTCCGGCCTTTCCCTGAGTTTTCGCGGATGGTGGACGAGGGTCCAGCTCTCCGAGCACGAGGGGGTAGACTCGTGGCAACACCTCCAGCACCTGAGCACACGAGAGCTGCTGGCCCGCTGGCCTCAAGATGCTTCATGCCCACGAACCTTGACGATGTTTTCCTCGGACTGGCCCTTCACGTAATTCCTCAAATCACCCGGCACAAGATTCATGCGCGTGCCCTACCAAGCCAACAGGGATTGCTGGGCAGCAGAGCTCAAGCAAATGCTTCAAGCCGTGCTCAGTCAAGCTGGCACACGGCAGATGAGTGCCACGAAACACCTCACAACCCCTATACGCCAAGAGTCTCATTGAACGCCAGCAGCACAGAGGCAAACTGGACCCTGCCCGTGAACTTGTGCTCGCGGGCCACATAACAGGTCACCATCTCCCGCAGCGAAGGCCTTGAAGAGCAACATCAAACAGGTGTACACACACACACACCACATGTATGCATGCCTTGATGCATGCATTGAATCAAGCTCTCCGACACTTCCCCAATGTCCAGAACTCTCTATTCTACTTGTTGGCACTTGCGCTCTACTTTACAAAGCCTCCGAAATCTACGAAGTCCGAAATCTGCAAAATTTCACAGATTTTTCCGGTCCAGCCAAAACACTCATTTCCGGACCTGCCTTTCTTAACAATTTCGGATATTGTGGAGAGTCAGGACATTTTGGAAGTTCTGGACATCTGGAAATACCGAACTAAAGGTAGCCTTATTGAGAAGTCAGTATGGCCCTAAGCAGGCACGACACCTGGCAAGGTCGGCGTTGTAATCACCTGGGAACAGAAGCCGACTTGATCTGTCAACTATGCTTCCGCACGAGGTGTTCCTACATCTGAACTGCCATCCAGCAGCATACCAGGTAGACAGGATAGTGCCGATACTGCAGGAGGAGCCGTCTCATGTCTTGGTCCACACTCTCTTTGTACCTCTTGTTGCCGTAGGTCTGGTGAGCGATGAACAGCTGCACCAAGCCTGCATGGAATGCGCTGGCACGGGCCAAGATAGCTGTTGATTTCAATCTTCCTGCCAGTCCTGCCAGGGTCTTGGGCGGGCTGTCAGATGCCTGGACCGCTGGGAGCATGTCCTCGGAAAGCCAGCTCAACACAGGGGGCCCGAATGCTCTCGTCGCACAGCATGCGTGACGCCTGTGCACACTGCACATGGCTCTAGCAGCTGAGCTTCCAAGACCTTGTGGTACTCAATGGCCCCGGCGACGGTACGGTAGACGGTCCTTTCACCAGACGCGCGAAGAGGCATGAACAGGTCATGTGCATGAGATGTATGTGCCGGGGCTTCACAGCACTCCAGAGCAGGCCGAGGGTCTGAGATCGCTGGGATGCCCAAAGCCGAATCTGCAGGTGGAGCTCTCGGATTTCCTCAAGGAGATCCGGGTCCTGAAGGCACAGGAAGCAGTCGGAAAATCGCTCACGCCGCGCGCGAATGGACCCTCCTGATTCATCTCAGCCCTTCGTGCCCACTCATTGAGATCACCCAGCACGAAGGCATTGAAGAGCTCTCGCGGTTCCATGCCATGCTTGCGAGTGAAAATCTCCCACTGGTCTTCTGCCTGCTGAAAGACGAGCTTGAATTACTGAGAAGCTGAGTGCCTTGCAGATGCGCTTCCACGCCATAAATGAGAATCAAATTTCCGAATTTCGGGCCTGTGCGATGAGGAAGCCCAAATTCGTGTTCCGGCCATCGGAAGCACACAAGAACTCCTCCGTCAGGATGACTTGCTCTTCGTAGACCGGGACTACCTGGGTCAAGGTCGGAATTGCTCCGGCCTTGCTGTCCAGCAATGTATCGCGGCCTGGTCGAATCTGAAATCCTGGTCGGATGCTCTGCTTCAGGAGAGCACGCAGAGAGCTCGCGAAGAAGCAGAGTCGTTCGCTGACGCAAGACGGGACCTTCTGAAGGTCAACCTGCGTTGACGCAAGGGCACCCTGTTTCCGCCACGGTTCCGACGCGAAATACGTTCCAACATGCTCGCGCCGCTCTGCTGGGGTGTCAAACTCTCGTTGCTGTGTCTGGAGCCTCATCCACACCTGACCATCCATGGAGCCATCTATCTCCCAACATACCGGATCGAATTGACGGTCATCCGAAGTGGTCGAGAATGAGATGGCGGAAATGCAGCGTGGCTTATTAAATTCCACCACAACCTCCCGATACTCCTCCGGGTGAGTGAACTCCAGCTCTGCAGGGAAGCGAAAACTGCTGGCGTTCCTCAGCGCGACCAGGTCTTCAGCCTTTGTCAGATTCCTCCGCAATGGCGTCGCCTGTGCACTCCCACGACTGGAGACCGACCTGCAGAGTGCACAGCAAGAAGGCATCGTCACCCGAGAGGGTCTACTTGGATATATCAGCAGCAAAGCTTCTCAAGAGACTGAAGTAGCCTGGATTTGTCGCCAAGGGGCACCCGATTCGGAGTGCTCGTCCCGGAAGCTGACAGCCAAGCGGTCTCTCTTGACTGTGGCAGGCACACAGCTTCCGGGCCGGGCCTACTCCATTAGGTACCTGAGACGGCCCACGAGAAAGCAGCTGCGTGCCACTCTGGACACCAAGGCCTGCGAAGACTTCCACGAGAGGAATTCGACATCAGCGAAACTGGTGCGACGGATGGGTAGTGGAAGCCATCCCTGACTAATGCAGCTTCGAATGATAACACGGCATCACTGCTTTGGTAAAGTGCACGAGCGGGAAGCTGGACCAGTGCAACTCTTGCCCGAATCGACCCAAACTGAACAGCCTTGCTCTGCAGCCCAGGGTCATACTGACAACAGACATAAACTGCACTGGCAACGAAGACATGGTTTGCGGGTGATGACACCATTTTCATTATGCATGTCAAAGTTGCTTTCTACCGGTGAAGAACCCCAACCGATGGAGTTTGGAAAGCTGCTGACAAGAGGGTTACATATCGCACTTTCGAGCATCGCACTCATGCAAAGTTCACGCCAAGCACTGCAACCGCCCACGTCCGAACATGCTGTTGACCGCTTGCGCCTGGAACGTCTGCAGTGGCTATGAGCCTGTCATCGAGGACTTCCATGAGCTCCGCATGCTCGGCTGGCGTAGAAACTTTCACCTGGTGCTATCCAGCCTTACTATGCGCGCAACCTGAGCGAGCAGCGCTAGGAGGGCATGAGCATGCCCCAACCAGCCTGCTTCACAGCCCATTTTTGCACCGGATATGACTTGGGTCGACTTCTGGCCCCGTGTATTACCTGCCACAAGCGAGACCCGGGCAGCGCAAGCTTAAGAATCAAATACACTTCTCACCAACTTAGACCCTCGTCCCTCGCAGCCTGCAGCTCAGAGATGCAGCAACTCCGTCCGGCTTGCTGCCAGGAGCCTCCACGAAGCTGCGTGGCTCGGAAGCGCAGCTTGGTAAAACCTGCTCACACAATTCAGACGCGAAGGGAGTACGAAGGGCGAGTTAAGCATGCAGCCAAGAAACACTGGGACATCTGGGCGAACTGCTTCTTGGAAGCAGTGCTATCACGCCAGCGGAAGGTGTGCGCGGCATTCACCTGCATGCTGAGTCAAGCAGGACTGACTTGTTACATAACACCAAGGCCAGCCAAGATACCATGCTGTTAGCCATTGCTTCGGAGATCAGGCAATCCTGAGTTGTCAGGCACTTCCGTTTCGACCCAGGGCGAGCGAAAGATCCGGCCGAGGAGCATCATAAAGGGACTCCACGGCACAGCTCCAAACTAGACGCCACGCGCTTCCGAAAACCGCTTCCTCAGGTTTAGCACCAGGTTTGTTTGGTCGCCTCTCATGCAGTCAAGACAAGACGATGAAGACGAGCATCCATCGCCCGACCGTCACTTATCATGTCGCGCAATTCGTTCTCGTGAATCTCTTGTCTGCGTGCACTCGCATCCAGGTCCAGTTGCCTTCCAGTAAATGCGTACCGCACTGAATCGCATGACGAGATACAAAAACCTAACAGCGGGACAGATGCTGTCCCGGTGCCTTAGCGCAGACGACACTACGTTGCGCAATCCTCGGTGCTCGCCCATGGCGTATCCCCCAATCCTTAGGAGAGAGGGGTTTGGCAAAAGTTTGTTTCGACCAACCATTCAAAGGGGCCCAATGACCAGGTAGAACAGGAAGTGCCTTGGTCGGCACGTCAGAACTAAACCAAAGGTGTGCGGGAAATGTTTCGGACATGAGCCCATTTTGCCCCCACTCAGAGGCACAACATGTCATTCCAAGCCTTACCGTTAGAACTGCGCTGTGAAGCCTAAAGACAACTCCAGACAAGTCGGGATGCAAGTCAAGGAAGGCTGTCATGCCAACCAGAGCATAGATGGCAATGATGGTCAGGCCACAGGCTGCCTCACATCCGAAGGATGGCTGCATGTCCAGGTGTCACGCATGCAGGTCCATTTGCAAGCCTTTTCTGAAATGATGTCAAATCCTTTGCCTTCCGAGGCGCACACTCGGACGGTAGCGGATGTATGGTCCCCACGCCAGGCACATGCACAGCCCAGGCGAACAGCCGATTCGAACAGGATTCCCCGCAAAAGCCCTTGAAGGAAAAGCCAGATACGAGAGGGGCAACGAAGAATGTCTCAAAGCCGAAGCACCTCAGCACCAAGATTAAGAAACACGCAAGTGGTGGCGTGGCCTGGTGCTACTAGGTCGCAAAACGAGCAGCTTTCCACATGCGCATTGGCATCGATCTGAGTCTACTGGCATGGGTGCCAATCCGCGAGAAGTCAAAACTTGCGACTCGACCCTTCGACGGCCCACCCGCAGAACTTAGGGCCAGTGAGGGAGGGAGTGAGGCGTGGGAGACGTGAAGCATTGTGCATCGGACGAGAGCACCACTTGCTTGCATACGAAGTTGCGGCAGCGTCGCGAGGTGCCTATCTTTCTATCTATCTATCTGTCAATCTATCTATCGAGAGAGAGAGAGAGAGCGATCATAAAGAACTCAGTTATGTACCGCTGGTTTTGTTCCTCCATAACATCTGTTTCTTTCTCCATGCGCCCTATTTCGGGATGCACCACTTTTCCTACTCCATTTCGGGCACCTTGGAAAGGTGCAAGGAACCGCTACCGAAGCTGGGAGAAACCTGGTCGATCTGTCTGAGGACAGCCGGCAGATCACGAACAATTTCTGTTGCCCAAGGCACAGTGCCAGCACGAACAGCCAGACAAACAGTGGAGCAGATCCCTTGCCCTCCTGTCAGAATCACATTTGCGAATCTCTTCCACTATCAGCTTTGAACGAGGATTCTTTTGTAAGGAGCCAGTCCTTTTCCACAGGGTCCGGTGCGTCATCGGCAACCACGGTCAGGAAAGAGTCTGAGCTTGCCTCCTGGTAAACACAAAGAGCATGTCAAATGCACCACCAGAAATGCCCATAGATACCTATGTATGCATGTCTGCGTCGTCTGCGTGTATGTCCGTCCGTCCATCCGTCCGCCTGTCCATGAACATGTCCAGATGTTTATCAGATTCCAAACCTGTTCAAAAAACAAAAACCAACAAACTATCAAAACACATACACATATCTTCATGTATAAATATGTAATCAGATGTATACCCGTATACATATAGAGAGAGAGGGAGAGCGAGCCATGCATACCTACATAGCCACATACCTTCCTACCTATCAATATGCCTCCCTCCTTCCCTGATTGCCTGCCTGCCTTCCGACCTGCCAAGCTGCCTACCTGCCCACATGCCTACCTACACACACACCAATTCACCCCAGCATTGCATGGACACATCACTCATCGCAAAACAAAGGCACTACAGCATTTTTCGTTGAAGCCGCTGAGGGCTGTACGCAGTTAATAGTGAAAAAACTGTGCAATCTTCCGAGTTGACGTGAAAGTCAAACCTCCAATGGCTGGCAAGGCGTTGCATGCAGATCTCTTGCAGTGTGACCCTGGGAGCACTGGGATCCACTGGGCCGAAAGGCAACAATGCTTCACATGATGCGAAACTCCATTGGTGGGGCGGCTGTGCCCAATGACACCTCGCTTGCGGAGCCAGGTCAAATCAGGTTGGAAAGGTCTGGCATCCTCAGCGACATCATATGCCTCAAGAATCACCTGCCGGAACTTGTGCATGTTGACAGGCAGTCGAATCATAGCCGTGTGGGTAAAGTTGACAAGCAGCGCCTTCTCATCAGCCCACTCTAGCTGCTGAGCCCATTCACAAAAGGTCTTGCCAAACTCTTTCGTGTAAGGAAAAGAGTCGACGATCGAGGTTCCCACCACTGCGATATGGCAAAAGCATGACCCGCGCACACCAAGCACTGAAGTTTCAAACTGGGGCTGTCTTTGCATGGATTTGTGCTGGAACGCGCGAACTCAGCGAAAAACGAGTGAAATCGTGCAACCACTTGGTTCATCTGCAAACAATTAAACAAACAAACGAGGACATTAAACAAATGAACGATCCGTCCATGCATCCATCCATCCAGGCTGTCCCTCCATTCATCCCTCCCCCATCCATCCCTCCATCCACACATACATACTTTTGCATACTTACAGACTTACAGACACACGCGCATGTATGTATGTATGTATGTATGTATGTATGTATGTATGTATGCATGCATGTATGTATGTATGTATGTATGTATGTCTTTATGTCTGTATGTCTGTATGTCTGTATGTCTGTATGTCTGTATGTCTGTATGTCTGTATGTCTGTATGTATGTATATATATATATATATGTATTAGTTTATTTATTGCATATATTCATATACATATATTCATACACACACATCCATCTGGGTATATGTGCGGACAGGAGGTGTGGTGAGGTGCAGTGGGGTAGGGGAGGGGAGGCGAGGCGAGGTGGAGGTAAGCACCGTATATATACATGCACGCATGCAGGTAGGCCGGTAGTATAGACATAAGTATACATATAAAGGTATGCATGTACACACATGCAATGCACAGACACACTGACAGACAAACAACAGACAAACAGACCGACAGACAGACAGACAGCCAGAAAGGCAGGCTGGCAGGCAGGCAGACATGCCCAATACACTGCGGCATTTCTCCGTTGAATGCTAACTGAACCAGAACCACATAAAAAGATGCGGTCCTGGTCTGCCTGCGCATCTGGCACCGTCGGCTGGTTTGCTTTCTTGTCTTTCAAGTCCGCTGGCGTACCGTGGACGAACGGGATGTTGCGACGACGGCTGAAGACAAAGAAAACCAGTAGTCGAACTGCTGCATAGGCACAACCTGAGTTAAAGAGCCGGAGGCTGATCTCACGTGGTCCGCCTCTGCCCATGGGCATACCAACCCAAAGCTTGTGAAACCCGTTGAACGAAGTTTCCGACGTGCCGCGAACATTCCCGCCTCAGAAGCCTCATGACACCGTGGCGTGTCGATAATCACAAACCCTTTCCTCCTCCTAGCCAAAGCTTGCGAGGTCTTGCAAGCCTGCCCGGGTCTCATTCAAGACTCAATTGCCTTACGAATTGTGCCACCCCGGAGCAGCAAAGCACGGCAAACTCGTCTGAGCAGTCTTTGTCCTGCAGACGTCTTGACAAGATCTGTGCGCTGACCAGTCACCAGTTGCCAATTTGTTGATTACATGTTTCGATACCAGTCCTTCTGGAAGGACTCCTCTGGAGTCAGATTGCACAGGTTTCGGCCCACTTTGCCAAAAAACACCATTGCCCCAAGGCTTCCACATCCGAGCATCACCGACAGCAGCCGCCTCGACATGTCACAAATAGCACGAGTCTCAAGCACAAAACTTCCACAATCAGCCCAAAGACTTTCCTCCCCCTCTGCTCTACCAGGTCTACCAGCACCACCACGACGAAGCCGACAACGACGACTTCGCCTGTTCCTCTACGTTGACGGTTGACTACGACTACCTCTGCGACAACGACAACAACCACAACCAGTACCCCCGCGACCGCTACCCCTACCAGCCCCACTTCCACCACGCCTCCAAGTGCCCACTGTTACTACTGCGACAAAGAAGTGGCGATCAATGCGGAAAATACAACGGGTTTAGACCTGCGTTCGGGCTGTGACTTTTAAGGACTTTTTGACCCACACCTATCCACGATGAGGACTACAGGAATATTTCATGGGAATCATCCACACTTCACGGTGCTAGCACATTCTCTTCTCAAATTGACGGCTGGTGCATAATGAGCTGCATTCGACCAAAATACATAAAATGCTGTACCCTGCTACCCCCACACTTTCTAGTGGACCATAAACTGATCTTATAGCGTCGCTGACGCGTTCTACACTTGTGCTCGTCCTTTTAAGACCTTTGGCCGCCTCCGCGCCCAGCGCCGGTGCGTGCGCTTCACTTGCGAGGAGAAGCGGCCCGGGCTCCGGCAGAGGCGCCGCTGAGCCAAGCCGTGCCAGAGTAAACCCAGCTCCGCGAGCCTCGGACTCGAGAGCACGGTGAACTCTTAAAGAGAGACACAGAGAGAGAGAGAGAGAGAGAGAGAGAGAGCTAGAGAGAGAGAGAGAGAGAGCGCGCGCTTGAAAGAGGAGGTGGGAACTGGTTGCTTGCTTAGTTTCGAGGTGTTCGGGACTAAGTGCCGGGCCGGGTACGACACAATTGCAAAGAAGCCTAGCCTTCTGGGCACACCCAGGGCTTAGGACTTGGAACTACGACTCGTCGTTCGGGTTCCAAGGCTCACTGCACGGGTGCAATAGGCAGATGTAACGGCAGAAACAGACTTGTCTGGTCTCCATCGAAGCCACACTAGCAGGCTGGCATCTAGGAGAGCCATGATCTGCACAGCATCTGACCGGCTGCCTCTGGGACTGAAAAAGCTATCGTTCTGATCCTCAGTTCCACAGAAGGACTGTCCCTTCAAAGAGGCATGAGATCCAATAGCATATGCACTGCATACACCCACATCGGCCCACATGACACAGCCACCCTGTCAGCTAAGGACTCGTCCGGCAGCGAGCCAAGATGTACATAAAAGGCCATGAAGAAGATCCAAAGCTTCACAGTGAAAACCTGCACAAACGTAGACAAATTGTAGACCGCGTGTGGGCGCGTTGTGGCTTGCTGTCAAGAGGCAGGCCCAAAGTTGTCAAGGAGATCGTACAAAACCCGCCACGACCTTGCGGTGCACCGCTTGCCATTCAAGTTACGCCCTATGCCGCGCACTGCATTGGCCAGGAGGCGTCGATTCCAGGAACGTTTTTTGCACGGTGTTGACATCGACTTCAGCCCGTGCTTCTCCCAGATCATTTATGTCCTTGGCACTCGATCCCCCAGATCATGATGTCTTGACCAGGCCTTGCAAACATTGCTTTCCAAGAGTCGTCGAAGTTCACACCTCCCGTGAATGGATTGGTGTTCTTTCTCATAGCATCCACTCCGTAGTGAAGTGCATCGTAATCCTTGCACGCTTGGCCATGTGCTCAAAGATGTCACGTTACCATGAAGCCTATACCTCCACACTATGTGCTCAAAGTGTCCACTGTGAAGCGCACACTGTCCGGAAGGAATGCCTGGGTGTATCTGCTGCTGCTGTATGGCACCACATGCAGATGCAAACGGGCAGTGGGGCTAGATGCCCCTCTCTGAAAGTTGCAGGATACAAGGCTGAGCTGCGTTGTCGTCTGAGAGTGACTCTACCCAACGCATGCTGTGGAACATCATGGAGATGAACTCCGGCGAATGCCTGACACCAGGCTCACCGTCTGATTTTGAACATGACCGGCCAAGTCAGAGGCTCGCACAGGGCGTGCTCCGACAAGCTTTCCACGACACGGAGGGCTGCCTGCACAGGACACGGAAGCGCCTCCAGTTGCCCTAGCAAGTCCGCATGCGTTCGGATGACGTCCAAGGCACGGCTTCGGTGAACAACATCCAAGCCGGCCGTCGTCTGGACGGCTCGATGCCAAGCATGGCTTTCAGCCGCTGCTCTTTGTTTCTCAGATCTCGCTGTGCTTCCAGCCACCTCGGTCATCACACGCTCATCACAGCAGGCAGTCCACAATTCTGCAAGGCCGTCGGCACGCCCGTAGGGGTCGCACACAAAGTAGCCCTCCAAGACGCGAGCATGGATGTTTGCCATTGCCTGAGTTCTTGCTAAGATAGGGCAAGCAACACCAAGGACGCCTTAAGCTTGGGCCGGTACCTTCCCAATGCATTCCTCCCGTGACAAGCGTCCCGGCCCGGTGAATTCTGCATCCAAGGCATGTCCTTCAGCCTCTACCTGAAAAAATCACGGCGACTCTCCCGATCTTTGATGCGTCTTGATGCAGCTTGCCTGTAGCTTCAAGCGCCTGCACTGTGTCTTCACATGTGCTTCGGCAAAGAAACCTGGGTGAGGTCAGGCCAGCCTATGAGATAGCCCTTGCAATTTTTTCACGGCTTTGCACAGCCCTGGCTAATGACTGGAACATCCTATGCCTACCGCAAGTGTTGTGGACGATACATGATTCAGCGCTGTGACGAAGCGTGTCGGTGGTGAACTGCACCTTGCCCTCGCGAACCACGCTGGCGGTCATACAAATCATGACCTTGGCAGGTGCCCACACACACTCACCTCGTCAGCAATGTCTTCGATTTCTGCCTCGGCAGCTCCTTTGGACATCTCGTCCGGAAGGAGCAGTGGTGCCTCTGCCTGCTGGGAATACGACGAACAGCTCTCTAGACTGCATCGCCAATCCCATCTTCCACGTGCACTGGCATGTCATGCCTTGACGACGTTGTTGGCATCCTGCATGTCTGCTGGTGGCTCCTCAAATCGCCCTAGCTCGATGGCATCGGTCCTGAAGCAGCCGGGATGAGAGCCTTTCCGCGCTTGACCATAAAACAGCCCTCCATGATCCTGCCTGGAAGGTGATTCTGCCTCGAGCAGCACCTGGCCGGCATGGCCAAGTCAAGTTCACACAACTTTCTCTAGGATCTCGCCTGGCTGTCAATTGCGCGAGCGTGCGCAGGATGGCGGTGTCTAGGAGGTTTGACGAGCTTGCCTCAGACCGCAGGCAGCGATTGGTGCTGCAAGCTTTAGTTAGATCTGATAGTGCCCTCATTGTCATTCGACCGCGGGGCGGAAGCAGCAGCACTTACACCAGTAGAAGACTTCCAGCGCAGCTCCGCAGAAAAACAACGCGAAGTTCAGAGCCAGCAACCAGAGGCGTTCATGCATGACGACCTTGGTGAATCTAACGCAAGAGACAGCCACGGGTTTGCCTCGTTTCCACACGGGTTCCACCAAAGCTACGGCATTCTTAAAGTAAAAAACAAATCACCATTGCCCAGCTGGCTGCGCAATAGCCGCCTGGCAGAAGGTTCCACAGCTGGTTTTCAGAAGCCGCGTCCGGTATGTCATCAAAGCGGAAAGCGCTTCCACCAACCTTTTCGCCCGAACTCCTGGTTGGATGCTCTTGATGATAGCGTGGGTCGAGGCAGTGGAAGCTGAGGAAGGTGTACTGCCCATTCATACCGAACCACTCATGATGAATGGTGCGCCCCGGGCGGACTTCGTCACAAGGCCCTGTGTGCGGGTGCTGAAAGACGCTGCCCGGGCAACCGAGCACTTCGGACCTCCCCCAGTCATCCACCCACTCATCAATTGTCACGCCGGCTTCTGCACAGCTCTCCAGGCTCGACAGGCCTTTGTAGAGCTCACCTGGGACCGGGTGGCTACGAACCAACCCATTCCTAGCTAGAAAACGAAGCACATAAAGAGTTTTGCACATCTGCTCACTCAGGAACCCATCAGTTGTTGCTGCAGGACAGGGTCGACCAGCTCGTTTACCTTGGATTTCATGGTAGACAGAATGCCTGGTCACTTGCCGACCAGCCTGACAAACTGTCAGTCGGCAGTTCGCAGAGCAACCCTAGCAACTCCTTCAAGTTGATATTAAGGCCGCACCCTTGTCCCGTACCGAAGCTGCAGCTGCTCTACGCAGGCGGGAGCCATGCGGGCATGCAAATGGAGGTTTTGCACTTGGGAGTTGGCGCCCCAACTGCAACCTGTGGAGGATGGCAGTAGACGGCCTTTGGATGGATGGTAAGATGACAATCTAAGCCTAGGCGATTGTGGGACAGATTGCTTTCACCGGCCTCTTTAGCCAGTTGTCGGTCAGGACCTCTGCCCTCATGACATCATACTCTGAGGCAGAGGCCTCTCAACGCCATGAGTGTGAGCTCATTTACATGATCGGGCGGGCAGGGCCTTTTGAATACGCCGGGCGGGGCATAGCGATGGCAGTTTGCCTTTCTGCGTCCATCAGGAACAAGGCTCAAGCTTTTCACGTGTCGTGATGTCCATATATCACCTAGATGAAAGTCTTCCAGCATCTCGGGCCTGTACTTTTTTTAGCACTCACACTCGAAGGGCCTGTACTTACATAGCTTCATCTCATGCCCATGAAGAATTTATTGCGCATGTTGACCTTGAAGCTTCACTTCGACGCCCAGTGCAGCGTCAGGCGCATGTTAGGGTGCGATTTAGTGTGATTTTGGGCGTGATGTGTTGTTCGTGCTACGGTTTTTCAGCTTTAACTCGGAATCTGCACATGCTGGGTACATCTTGCTCGAAGCGCATCCTTCTGGACTCCAGCCTTCCGAAGAAAAAGAAGAAGAGCAGTAGTGATACAACATACCAATTACAACAACATAACGATGACAGAACAATAAAAATTTAAAACAAAAAAGTACATATGGTTAATAGTCGTACAAATACAACAATGATAATCAAAAAGCATAGTAGTAGCAACCGAAATGCTAGTAGAAAAAATAATGACGAATAATAACAATAACAACACTAGTAGTAGCAGGTGCCCCCCACTACCAACTACACTTGCTCTAAACCATCTTAACAGCACATCCGCTTTACTCAGTATTTACAGCACCGTCGTCATGTACGATCATCATAAAAAAGCCTCAAAATCGACTTGCCGAGTTTGCAAACTCGCCCTCTTGATTTTGGACTTGCTTCTGGGGGGGGTGGGGTGGTGATGAAATGTGTTTACTTTTTCGTGATGTTGGTAGTGATAATGTTGCTGACAGCGACGAAGTGTAGTTGGTAGGGGGGGTGGCGATTAGTAGTAGCGGTAGCAGTCGCAGTAGTAGTAGTAGTAGTAGTAGTCGTCGTCGTCGTCGTCGTCGTAGAAGTAGTAGAAGTAGTAGTAGTAGTAGTAGTAGTAGTAGTAGTAGTAGTACTAGTAGGTTTAGTAGTAGGTTTAGTAGTAGAATTAGTAGTAGTAGTAGTAGTAGTAGTAGTAGCAGTAGTAGTAGCAGCAACAGCACTAGCAGCAGCAGGAGTAGTAGTAGTTGTTGTTGTTCTTCTTCTTTGTGGTAGTAGTTTAGTAGTCGTCGTCGTGCCGGTGGTGGTAGTAGTAGCAGTAGCAGTAGCAGTAGCAGTAGCAGTAGCAGTAGCAGTAGCAGTAGCAGTAGCAGTAGCAGTAGCAGTAGCTTTGCCACCCACCTGGCACGCCAATGACAGCAGCAGTAGCAGCAGCAGTAGCAGTAGCAGCAGCAGTAACAGCAGCAACAGCAGTAGCAGTAGCAGTAGCAGCAGGAGTAGGAGTAGCAACAGCTGGAACAGTAGCAGTAGTAGCAGTAGCAGTAGTGGCAGTCGTCGAAGAAGTAGTAGTAGTAGTCGTAGTAGTAGTAGTAGTAGTAGTAGTAGTAGCAGTAGCAGTAGCAGTTTAGTAGTAGTAGTAGTAGTAGTAGTAGTAGTAGTGGTAGTAAAAGTAGTCGTCGTGGTGGTGGGTTGTGGTATCACAACAGTTATCGACATTATTGTTAACATTAATGCTGCTATTCGTATTTTTATTACTATTATTAGCAAGAGCCGCGGCACTGAACCATACATCGGAGCTTCCGCGGCAAAGCCAAACTGCGCGATCACGAGCTTCTGTGTCGGATATGTACACCCAATGCCTGCAAGCAAAAGCTCAAGAGCCGCACAAAAAGCTGGAGAAGGAAACTGACTGCTCTTTTCTTCAACTTCAAGCTCTCCCGGTACCTGGGTCACAGCCCTGCAGCAAGTCGCCAGCAGGGTTTCGCAGAGTTTGAGTTGCGAGGTCATGCCAGGCAAAAGCATCGTGGCTTTCTGCCATTGTGGCCTGCCGGGAACAAAAAAGTGGATCTACACTCAATGCGACGTAGCAGACATTATCAAATACGACGATCGAACAGTGCCGGCGCAGCACAAATCACGAGGAGACCCAGCCTAACAGCTCGGCTCAACGAGCCCGCGCTCACAGAGGTACGAGCAGTATTGCGGTTTTGTAAGGCGTTCTAGGATTACCGTAAAAAGGGACTATGACAGGCTTGCTACCGGGTGTAGGGCCTGAAGGGAGGACAAGCCAGTTAAATCCTTTCAATGGACGATGCCCAATGACCGGCTACTCATGTCAAGTGCTGGCCCGGTAACACTTGCGATTACAAAACACCAAATCTCGCTGTGTCGCGTCGCCGGGCCCTGAATGGCAACCCTTCTGCAAAGTTCCTGCCAAACAATGAACATAGCAAAAGTACTGTGAATTTAACCAGAGGGCATTGAACCACTTCAGCTGTTGTGCCAGGTCCGTCTGCCCTTGCCGATTCGTAGGCGGCTGCGATTGTACTATCCAGGCATCGAAAGCTCCAAGTGGTCGCAGCCGGTTGAAGGTTTTCTCGTCGATATGCAGTGAGAGCTCATCAACTGGCCATGTTCCCCACACCGTCTCCTTAGGGCTAGACAAGCGCTGCCTCACCAGGATATGCCAAGCGGAGCCGAGCTGAACAAGCGCCAAGGCTCGGAGAAGCCCAGATACCATCCAATATTGTCTTGTCGTAAGATCGTGTCCAGCAACAGCGGGACACCTTGCAGGGACAAATCCAAGCAGAAACTGCACCCGCCAACAAGCTGCCAACGCTGATTCCGCTGAGTTGACATGGTTGATAAATCTGTTGGCAGAGTAGGTTGCCCAGCCACCGAACAACATAATATCATGCACGCATTCTTTCAGAAGCACCCGCGATCGCGTGGCCTAGAGGTCTCTTGAAGCGATCGCCATCGCAGGAGGCCTTTCCCGGACCACACTCCTGCAGCCACTGGGCCGAGCGGATGACCCGCAGCATCTGGAAGTACTCCTCAGACTGTCTTCATGCGAAGGAGGCCTTTGGCACAGACGCCCTCAAGTATGCTCCCAAGAACCCCGAAGCAGCCCGAAGTGGCCTATGACCAGTGTCGAGGCGCATCGCGGATTTCTGACAGAAGGGACATCGAGCGTGGGCCTTGCTCGGTCGTTTCATTCAGGTTGAGACCGAAGTTGACAGTCCACATCAGGATGATCTCCTCAATGTCCGCAGCATCCTGGAGCGCCTCCATCCCGCTGTCACGCTCAGTGTTTACGCAGTCTATCACGGCGCTTCCCCGCCCATGAGTTATCGGTTCTCAGGCCTGGTGCAAGAACTTCTGGAAGCCCTTCCACACCTCTGACTGCCTCTGGCTGAATGCTGACATCCTGGAATCAGGAGCAGAAAACTGTCTAATGCTAAAACAAGGTCAGGCCCAAAATGAGCATGTCCGAAGAAAGTCCTGGCTGCGGTGGACAAGAAGTAGGAAAGGTCGAAGGTTGGTATAACATACCTGTGTCCACAAACAGTTTTTTTTGACGAGACAATTGTCGAATGGCTTCTGCAGCCCTGGACAGTGGATTCTTGAAAATGGCCCCTCCCTCTCACCATCTCGGAAGGCACTTCCGGCACAATCCTATAGCTCACTGGCGGCTGCACAACGGCCGCAATGTAACCAGCTGGCCAAGGCACATTCCATACTTCTTGCAGGCGCGCAGGAAACCCGAATGGTCCTGCTCCGAGTCCCAAGGTGCAAGTCTGACAGCATTCGCATGGAGTATGTTCCTCGGCTTGCTGGGGATGTGCACCAAGCACATGCCACACTCCCTCCGACTCCACAGCTGAGATTGTCTGGAGCACATCCGCCGAGGGCAAAGACTGAAACCGAGATGCCGCATGATGTACAAATCACGCTCGTGCATATTGGTGAATGCCGACGTGTAGAGATCATTGTTGAGCCCTGGGCTCAACCTCGTCGTAACAGCAATTCGTGCTACCACAAAGCAAGTGACTGTCCAGGCTATTTATTTAGCATTCAAGAAGCCCGACAGGACGTGGCTCGTAATAAATCGCCCGAAGCGTCAGCATGTCGGCTTTCGAGCCTGTGTTCCTGCAGTCTATTGAGTTTTAACGAACCAAAATTCTTCTTCTCATTCTACATCCTTCAACAAGGTCATCAATCGCTGGCTCGGAAAAACGGTCCTGGGATGAATACCTGAATCGATGCCATGAACCTTTGTACCACTATCGAACGGAGGACTGCTCACCTCGGCTGCTCCCTAAATGAGTGCGTGGGTGGCATCAACAGATCCGGGGAACATTCGGCAAAATTGTGAGGACGGCTCGAAGAAGGCCGTGTGTGGTCTTGAAGCACCAGCGCTTTACGGCATGGGTTGAGAAGGCGAAGTTGTGTAAAGCTTGTAACGGCTAACAGCGTGCCCCTAGTCATGCTCCGGTCTGGGTGGGACCTACTGCACTACATCTGTCAGACCGACGACTGACCAAAGGCAGCGCATGCGACACCTTTTGCATCTTCATACTTGGATGACAAGTTCAGGAAGTTCTGGCGTCCTTCACAACTTCTGGCTCACACCGGCATGGTGCCCAACGACACAAAAAGAGCAGTCTCAAAGAGCAACTTGAAAGAGCTCAACATCTGCATCCGACGAAGTGGCACCTTCTGGAGTTGTCTAGCAACACTGCGCGTCTCAGCACTTAGAGCGCCGGATTCTTGGAGACTGTCATCCAGAAACCAAGCGGCGAAGAGCTTCGTGCAATTTGAAGAATTGCCCTGTCGCGGAATTGAGTCAAAACACACGCCTTGTTCACTATCACAAAATGAATCGTAGCAAGCACAAGCTGCATATTTGATTACATGCGACTACAGATCCGGCACCTTGTACTGCGAGTCTGGTCGGTCCAGAAGTATCTCGCAACGCACCAACTGGAGCAAGCAAAGAACACACGCCGTCCGCAGCGGAACGCGCATTTTCACCTCGACGCGCATGGCCAACAAAATACTCAAAGAATGCTCAATCAAAATAAGCCTCGCTTGTCAGACTTCAGCCGGCGCACCAAGCCCACGCTATGGCCACAACGATGATGAAGCCGCCGCAAAAACTTACGGCCGAGATCCAGTGGCAAACGTATCGTAATGAAAAGGTTGCTGGTGTTTGGGTGCATGCCTATGCCTGACTGCAGCGATGCAACTTCTAACGTGTGATTAACTGCATGTATTTCATGCGCTTGTTGGCTTCGTAAGGGACGTTGCGAACAACGTGAGTTTCAGCTGACTGTGCGAAACATTGACAGCTTTAGAAAATGCACTAAACTAGCCTTAAGCCACATGCATCGCAGCCAGCATTGCGTGGCTATGTTGTCGATCTCACAGTCGATTCGCAGGAAACCTGTATCACCCTAGCTGTGTCTGCATAACAACACGTCTGTGAACAGCACGAGAACATGAACACACTTAGGCAGGATCACTAGTTTCCCACTATTAGTAGCAATTGCTAAAACATTACTGGCGTCTGTTGTTGGTGTATAAAATGCTTGTCCTGAATTGCTAGAAATATTGAAATTATCAGTTTCATAATTTGTTATAGTGTCTTTAGAGTAAGTTGGTTTTACTACTGTTGTTCCTCCTGTTGCATTATTACCTTCAATAAATGTATTAGTTGGCGCAAAAACTCCTCTCATCTTCGTCCTACTGTACTCTCCAACCCCACAGAAGACATGCCGCGCTTCTCCTGAACAGCATCCAGCACCTCCTGTACAGATTCGCTGCCTTCGATGTCGAGGACAAAGCCCTTCCAACACAAGCTTGCTTCAGGCTTACATAAGCGCCAGCAGACAATTTCGGAGTGTCTCGTGCAGATCTGTCAGCGCTTCAGTGTTTCCCTGAAACCCATGCAATCAGGCGGTTTTGGGGGCGCACGATTTGGCCGGAAGTCTCATTGTAGTGTCGCAAAGGGTTGATAAACCTGAGAAGGCTTCATTCGGCTGACCTGCTTCTGGCATCTTCTAGCAGTTGGTGGGGCAGAACACTGCCGTACGTACCAACATGCTAAACCTTCTGGGATCATGGCGCTTTGCGTGCTGCTTGTGCAGATATAAGGAGAAGCCTCGAGAATCAGAAGCCATGCTGCGGGCGTGCAGAGGGAAAGCTCTCGACTTCTATCTCGGAGCGAGACCCCCAGCAAAGTCGTGAGGCCTGCTCATGCGCCAAGCAAAAACATACATGAGGATGCTGCTCGTCTGGTTCGAGACTTAGGCTGCCACCCTGGCATGTGACATGCGGTGTCATGGCCGCAGCCAACGGGACAAGCTCATCCAGAATCTAGAAATACAGAGGCAATTCTCGACTTCGTCAAATGATCCCATGTACGCCAAAGGCCACGAAGTGCAAGGAAATTTTTGCAAACGACCAATGCAGAAACATCCTACGACTTCTGTACACCGACCCTTCACAGTTGTGGAGGTCTTCACATACATCAGGTCCTGTGGGCTCTTACCCAGTTAGTACTCTTGCTGCTGCGTGTGCGATATGGGTGATCTGAAAGTGCTGCCTGGCAAACAGCTCCCGCAATCTCAGCGTTGATTTATGGGGCTTGAATCAGCAGCAAACTTTTGCCCACTTGGGTGGCTCGGCGAGCGCGATGCGAAAATGGCAAGTGGCACTTGCGAAAACGGTGACACGAGTGTTGGGGCGTTTGGCCCAACACGAAGCTCAACTACGGTTGAAGTCCATGCAGCGCGGCATGTAGCATGGGTACATGCTTTGGCTCAGCAACTGGTGAAATGCGTGCTTGCATCTGGACTCTCAGCTACGCGAAAGAGTTTGAAGCAGTTCCTCTGAACTGCCACCCGGTCCGTATGGCCTCAAAGCTCCTCGAAGCCGAGATTCTCTTCCTGTGCTGTGCGTGTATCTGATGGGTAAGCTGCGAGTGTGGCAAGAGCGTCGCACGCATGCAGGGTGCCTTTTCATGGAGAACCTGTGGCGAAGTCGCCTGGGGTTCGCTGGGTGTGGCCTCGATTTACTGTATGTTCCGTGTTTTTCCTCTTCTCAAACAACCTTGGGCTTGACTGCTCCATCTGTCGTCTCTGCCTTCGCGCACTTCTCTCGCATGCAGCTGTGTGCATCTTTGAGATCATGGACGCGACCTTAGACCCGGGCTGCTGCACTTTGTTGCTTTAACAGCAAAGCAACACTGCCGAGAGAAATCCCAGTCAGTTTCAAGGTCTGAGAACTACTCACGTTCCCCGTGCTAGCCACCTGTCAAAGTTTGTCCTTGCACGTTTGTTCCGAAAGCGTGGTGATTTTCACGATGCTCCCCACGAGCTGCCTCTGGAAGCTTGTAAACAGTCTGAAGAGAGGCCAGTGGAGAAATCGGAACCAGATCGGAAGTATGTATGCAGAACATTGCACTACCGAAACTTGTTCACCAAATCTTGATTCCCGTGAGCCAAGCGACATGGAATGGATTTGTCTCAAGACTTCCCGTCTCATGTCTAGAGGGGAGGACATGTTCGTTGCGTCGTTGCTTGGGCTTGCTCAAAACATTAGTTTCATACCGCTGCCGGGACTCATTATCAACCGGCTGCCATCTGACACGGGACGAGATGTTTGGGCAGTCCTGGCTTCAACTGAGCTGTTGCTAAGAAGTCGTGTTCCAGTGCAGCGTAGTTTGCTGCCACAGTAGGTTGGACGTGGCCATTTCGAGGGTAAAAGTCGCTTCGGGAATCTTTTCGGGCTTTGAGATCGCGCTAACGCGAACACATTCTTGATCCGTCCTCTTTCCGGCCAGCCTTACGTTTTTCTCTAGATCCCAACAAAAGGTGCGAGCGCAGAATTTAAATAACTTGGGCCCGAGCCTGTCACACCTCGATCTCGATAGCTGGCCAAAACCTGAGTCACTGCTTGTCAGGCCATGGCACGAAGGACCATTCGTCGCGGCAAGGCCGCCAAGTTTACTGCCACTGGTGCCCCGCCCTCCCCCGAGGCAGGAACGAAGTCCAAGTCAGTGGCGTTGCAGCGCAGGTGCACGTTTGAGCAGCCCACGGCTTCAATCATGCGAGCGAAGGCCTTGAGATCGGAACCGCCGACATGGCCCGGAACAGAATTTCTAGGGCACGGGCCCACATGCAAATGCACCAGCTGTCACCACCGTTGGCTCGAATCACACCTGGCCATTACAAAGCTCCATGATGCCATGGCTTTGTGCGAGCACATCAGAGCGCTTGCCAGCAGAGGTTGATCTGCTGGTCCGTTTTTTGCGTCGATATCAACGCACTCGAAATAGTCATGTAGCTGCTGCCTCACGTTGACGCCATAGGACGCCAAGCAGCTGGCGGTGGTCGGGGATGTCCAGTATTAGGCGACGCTCTGCTCGCATTGACTTCGCCGGGTTGACTTGTCGAACGTGGCCCAGCTCGTGACGCAGTAAGTTCAGCTTTCAGCACGTTCTTCGGATGCCAGCTTTGACTCAGCTTCTAGTCTTGCAAGAGAAGACGCTGCCGCAGCTCCTGCTGACGGAAACATCAAACAGCGACCAGCTGCTGGGCATGAAGATTCTCCACAAAACGTAAGCCTGCCTTCCGAGGACGCATGTGCGCAGGGCGGTACTTGAAAGGAAGACACTCAGACTCCAGCCCACCTAGACCTGAAAGCAACACCCGAAAAGCCCCGACCCGTCTGAGTGTCGGCTACAGTACGTGATCAGTGCCCCGTTCCGCGATTCCTAGCAAGCTGCCACCACGCCCAACTTTGGTGCGGGAGCCTATCCCAGTTTGCAAAGTTCTTCGAAACGAGAAACGAGGCATCTCCTGCCGATGTCTGCGGAACTGCTGCACGGCAACGCCGTGTGGCATTGTTCCCATGAGGCGCTGCTTTTCTTGCCATCCTGCACCAACTTTGCAAAGTCCCCGGACCGATTCCCGCTTGCCGCCAAGCCACCCACTCGCCAGAGGTCGCCCAGGGTCGGCGTCGAAGGATCTGCCAGGTTGCTGCCCGGTGGCACAGCAGCTGCCGTGTAGTCGGGCTTCGCCACCTCTAAGCAAAAAAACGTGGACTCGGTCACAAGCATACGGTCACATTACTGTCAGTACTGATACGAGTGGACCCGACTTGGATGCGACGAGCACCGTGGCTTCTGGAGGAAGCCTTTACCGGAAGAGGAAGGGGGTGAAGCTCTCTTCTCTTCGTGCCGACGATAAAAACGAGAACTGAACTGCTGGCGGAAGCGAGATGACTCCGAGAGTGAGTCTATGGGGTAGCAACCATGTCTTCTTCCTAATCACTGCCCGGGGTGGATGAACGATCAGGGAATGGTACAAGCTCGTCATATTGCACTTTGCCGTTACATCGCATAAATCTGCGCTGCATGCGGCCGAGTCGCGAAAGTGACGGAAAGCCTTCGAGAATCTGCTGCCAGGGCGGGCCGCGGATTCGAGACACGATGCATGACCCCACGACATCGTCCTCCCGAAGAAGCAGCGGCCATTTTGCTCCGAAATCCACTCCGCATCACTCTGAGCAGCTTTCAAAACATCCTGCCCCTGTCCTGCAGTTAAATACTCGATCAAAGTTCCCGGCATTATCGTCAAGGCATCTTCTCTTGCAGGCACACATGCCCACGAACCAGAAGGCAAACGAACCTCCACAAACACAATGAGACAAAGAAGGAACCCGAAAACTGAGCGTTTAATGCATCGAACCTCGAGGGCACCGCTCTGTCCGCACTTGGCCCCACCAGAGTCTGTGCCGGGAGACCTCACGCAATCACATGACACGTAGTTGTACCTGTGAGGCTACAAGGACCCGAATCGCAAGGCACCTCGCCAGAACCGTGAAGGCGCCGAAATCCTGATGTGCCTTTGCCCGCAGTTGGTACTCCGACCTGAAGCCGCATGTTCTGCGACTGGCCTCTAAGGCAACTGTCCGGTCAAAGTGGCAAGTCCGGTGGTCGCAAGCAACGAGGCAACAAAGATGGATAGTTGCACACCTCAACCAGCCACAGACAGCTCTTCACCTGTAGCATTATACGACTTTTTCTGAGCACTCGCTGCCGCCTGGCTGCCTGCAGCATGCTGGAGTGACGCACATGCCGCTGTGAGTCATACCAGAGGTCTTGGAGTGAAGATGGCCGCACGCCAGAGGCTGCTGCCAGAAGCCTTTGCAAGAAGCGTGTTTGCGCCCGGAAGCTGCGATTGACAACCCACTAAAGCCGGAAAGCTTTACCATGGACGGAAGTCGCCACCAAGCGGCAGCAGCAGAGCTTCGGAGAGGTTTTCGAAGGCAAGGTAAGCTTCCAACATAGCAGGCTTCAGCATTTGGCAGCTCGAGGGCCAGACATTCGGAGGGAAGAAAACCTTTCCTAAGAACAAAGCATTCCGACACTGATGCCTGATTGCTGGATCTTGTTGGATCATCAGCTGCGCTCCCTAAGGTAGTCACAGGCCCAAGCTGCCATATGCAGAGCGGTAGTAGTCATCCAACTTCCACTTTGCGGACTTAGCCCGTGGCTCGTCGGAAGTGGCCTGCAAGCTCGGACGTCCAAGCGGATGCATGTTCAGCGGCACTCAGCCACGCAGCAGCATTCCGCGATGTAAACACGCCATCCTGACATATCCTAACACTAGATGACGCATGGCAGTAGCTTCGATTCTTGAGCAATGGCGGCCACCATCTCCTCTCGTGGGGTTTGCTATGGCATCATGATTCTTGCACTAAGTATGCAGAGGGCAGTTCTGCGATTCGGTTCGTGCTGCTTGCATGATTAGTCTCCACTGAAATTGCCGCAAAATGCTTGGATCCTGTGTGAGCCTCACAAATCGCTGGCGGCCCGCAGCAGAACCGCTCGCAGACGATGCCTTCCCAGAGCGATTCAGTTCTTTGTGTCCAGCTGCATTTGGAAAAATGTATGCACCTTGCACAGCAGATGGCTCGGCATGTGCATCTGGAGGCACAGAGGTGGCTTGCCACTGTTCTAGAAACCTCTGGTGATGCGGGTAGATCTCATAGCCACCTGGGCGATGTCCAACCCTTTGACAAGACTCTAAATACTGCGAGAACTGCAGATTGCCAAGAAACGGTTTCTCTCCATGTTGTAAACCTTGAGACATTGTCTTGAGAAGGGCAGCGGGTCCAGGGCGGCTGCGAACTGAGGCACTCGCGGCACAGCTCTGCTTCACCTCCAGTGGCTGATCGAAGAATGCCAGGGACTCCGCACGGACTTTCTTCACGACATGGGAGGGCACTCCGTGGCCTTTCTGTGGCAGGGACACTGGCTCTTTCTTTCCCGCATGCCGGAGCTGAAGCATGCTATGATAGGAGATGACGTCAGGCCTGTGGCTGAGAAGAGCCCATGTGACATCAAAGCAGCACGCACTGCAGCTACGATTTCAGCAGGTGGTTCTGCGCCATCACCTGTGCAAGCAATTTCTGCCCGGCCAGACACTCACGATTCCTCACCACAGGAGTGCCTGCCTGCGCTGAACCAACTGCAACCATCCAGGTCCACAGTAGGAATTTCATGTTTCTGCCTAGGCTGACGCGTGGGGTCGAGGCTCCCATGCACGGCATGGCGAGTCCAGGATCTGGGGGAAGTCGTCTAAACTTCTACTCGAAGCCACCCGAGCGCTGGCACTTTCGATTTCCGCCTGCCGCCTCGGAATCGGAACACCTAAGTTGGATCAGTGGAAGGAGCTGCAACAAGGGGAGCTCCACCTTGCTCCACTCTTGGGTGACCACACATGTCGCCGCGGCCAGCTGAAGTGCCCGGTGGCTGTTCAGAACATGACAACCTCCACCGTTCACTTGCGAGGAGTAAAAACTGCCTGTGCCTGCACATCCGAGCTCTGGCCTGCTGGCTTTCGATGTAAGTGTCCAGCGATCCTGCACTGAATTCCTAAAGTGCTTTCTGCCTTTTTGGTTGGGCCCTGTGTATCGGTCCTTGGATGGATGCCGTGCCATGCGCCTTCCGCACATGAGCGCTGCAGCCCACCGGTAGGTCCAATGCTGATCACGTTCGGCGAATCAGCCAGGCTCAGCATGGCTCAGTCGATGTGCCGCACTTGGAAGAAGTGGCATCCCATCAATCAAGAGACGGAGAGTCGACCCATGGACCACGAAGAGATATTCTGAGTATCAACTCCTGAACCCTATTATGCATCACGTGTCTGCTAGACTACATAGCACCTGAGCAATGACATTGGGGAAATTTGTGAACATCAGCTTCAGAGACTGCAAGGAATAATAAATTATAGCGTCCACAGATAGCTACTAGATTGTCTGTTCAACCCTGCGTTCATAGGATATCGATTTTTTTCATTCATTAGGGCACTCTACATATTCCCACTCGACCTGTGCTCTTGCTACATGAAGGTTTGTGAGGTGAGGCATGCACAGGTGACCGGCATACCAGCCCAAGCGAGATGGGAGCACTGTCCCACTGAAATCGCTTCTGGTTCGTGATTTCCCAGAAGTCACCCTGACCTGAGAACATGCCCAAGAGTATCTGAGCTTTCAGAAATCACAGCAGTAAGTGGATGGAACCCACTGAGTTTACTTCCCCAGACCAACGGCTTGCCATCTCCATCCAACAGCTTGGCACACACCTTGCCGCTCGATTGCAAACCACGGCCGGCGGGCAATGTATGCACACAGAATGGGGCCACAACGCGGTGGGTCCCGTCGTGGTTGCACTTGTGGTCTCCTTCAATTCGTCTGCTTAGCCATCCGAGCTTTTCGCCCCTGTCGCCCGGGGCACGAGTCCGTAACGAGGGCCCTCGCCAGGACAAACTTCTACGCTTCCAGCAAGCGCCTTGGAAGTCCAAATGGGGGAAGCGTTGGTGAATGGCAGTGCAAAAGCCACCGTTCGGAAGATGCAGATTGCAGAATTGTCTCCGATCCAACTGTACTGCCTGTAAGTATTGACCGACTCGGGTCAGTGACACAGGTGGCCGCGAAGCAGGGCAATGGGCAACGCTTCTGCCCTACACCGTGACGAACATTGTCAAACTGTACACCAGTGACACTAGCTACGTCCCGACGACCTTGCGGGACCTTAAACGATGAACTCCTCGCTTGCCGGCGCCAGCGCATCCAGATACTTGATATCCTGGCAAAGTAGGAAAACAGGGCAGGGAGGAGGCAACAACTCTAGATGCAAGATAATGATCTGGCAGGATCTGGCGAATCGTCCTCATCTGACAATGCAAAGTTGAACGATTCCAAATCACCAACCGCATGATCCTGCGAGCGCCCACTGTAGATCGAAACGGAAGAAACACGCCACCCATGTGGCGTCATTACATGAGCTCTCCGCCATCCTTTGAGCAAGAAGCTGTGACCGGCACAATGCCGTTCTGCGTTTCCCAACGCAGCTCGACCTGTTGAGGCCAACGCGTCGAATCGCGCAAGGAGGCTCGTGGCCCCACGGCGGGTGCCTGGGCGCTGCTCCGGTTGTAGCGCTGCGCCAGCGCCTTTAGCCGAGCATCGCCCAAGGAAATGGCAGGCACCTCGTGAAAAGAAAGCTCCCCGCAAGCATCACCAAGTAGCGTGCTTCCTCCAAGCATTTACTCAAAATCAAAAGCCTAAACTCGCCAGAGTCACGCCCGCTGAAGTTGGCCCTGCCAGGGATGCCCAAGCCTGCACAGATGACAGCTGTCCAAGCGGATGCCAGCACCAAGCTCAATGTTACACCAGCGAAGACCCCAAACAGAATGCACCGAATGGCGGTTCAAGTTGGAACGTGTTGGAACCTAATCTGGCTTCACCAGCAGATGCTACGAAACAAATGTTTAGGCCATGACATCTTCACAGGAACGCGGCAGCAGCAAGAAAACCATAGCAGAAAACAACAAAAGGCACGCCCATCCGAAACAGGAGCCCTAAAAGGACACATGAATGGAGCCCAGGAAACATGGGAAAAAAAAACATTCCCAATGGGAGCCCACGCCGTCGCCCATCCCACCCAGAACCCCGAAAAGAAACATGAAGGGAGCCCCAGCCCTGTTGCCGCGGTCCACCCATCCGACCCAGGAGCCCAGACAGGGATCTTGAAGGAAGCCAAAAAAGGAAACATGAAGGGAGCCCATTGATGAAGGGTAATGGGAGCCCACCCCGTCGCCGCGGCCCACCCATCCGACCCAGGAGCCCAGAAAGGAAACATGAAGGGAGCCAAATCGGAGCCCAGCCCCGTCGCCGCGGCCCACCCATCCAGCCACCTCGGCCCACCTTTTCTCTGAGGAGAGAACCCCAAGCCGTACCTGTTTGGGGAATGAAAGAATTGCTTGGGTTCAAGCGGCTGTATGCAGCAAGACGGCGACGTGTGCGACGAATAAACATTTCGATGTTATACCGAGTCATACATGTCTACATACGATTGAGACAACTGTTTCGCAAGCGGACGAAACTTCTTCATTGATCAGCTGGATAGAACGATCACAGCAAAAATGCTTAATGCCACCTCTATGGTTGTGCCAAGTTTGCGCATGGCCAGGCGAAGCGTCTCATTGTGGTAGGCGAGATGCCACTGAACCTCCAACACAACGGCAGTGAGCGTTGCTGGGGCAGGAACATGCATAACGAGTGTGACTACAGCTTTCAATGCCTGGCCTGATTGACTGCAGGTGCCTCCTTGAACTCAGCAACAACTTCGGCAACTTGTTCCGCATTGTAGTTGCTCACGCCGATCCTTGTCACAACTCCACTTGTAGTCAGTGAGGGAACGAGCTACTGGCAGTGCACAAAGAATCGAATCTACCGATCATGTTAATTGCTGAGGATTGCTCGCACGCACCTTTCCCATCGCACGAAGTTCGCTGAGGCCACGCCAGGTGTCCAAACGTTCCTGCTGGTGCTGCTCCCCGCACTTGTTCGGGAAGTCAGACATGTTCTCGGACGCAGCAGCAAGCAATTCCATCATAGCGCACTCGAACCACACCCTCCTGCAACACTGCTGCTGTTAGCAGAGACGTGTCATGCTTCAGCCAAGGCGCTACACACGGAAAATGGATCAGCACCAAATCGATGTAATCGACGCCCAACCTTGAACCGGTTTTGATCGTTGCCATCTTAACACGCCTCTCGTGCTGCTACATTCTGCCACACCTGCCACATCCGTACTGATCACCAGATTCGGTCAAATGTCTTCTGCAAGGTTTGGTTCATCACCATATCCTTGACAGCTCCACGTCCAATTGGACCGGGAATTTTGGTCGTAAGGAAAATCTCCTTTGCAGTCCATCATGAAATGACACTGACCCTACAGCATATCCCTGCTACGGGGTAAAAAAACATGAAACTAGCCGGCAGTCCTTTCGCTCAACACCGGAAGCCTTGATCGCCGCTCCCACATCTGGCTCTGTGCCGTAATCGTGGGCAGTGTCGATATGGCGCCTCATTCATCATGGCAGGCACACCGGCATGCACTGCTTCCCATCACCGCATGCATCTTCACACTGGGGTCTCGACCCCCCAAGTTGGAGCCACTGTTGAATGCCCTCTTGCACGCTGCAGTTCGTGAGGGACCCACGATAGCTTCCGAAGGCGATCATGGGCATGTAAACCTGTTGTTGAATTGGCCCTACAAGAACATACAAGAACCATGGCGTAATTACGCGCCATGACTAAACATGTGTTGCTCGGAAGTAGTGCCGACATGCAACTCCTGCAGCCACCTCCACAGTTGGGACAGTGGCATTCGCCACAGCCCCGAGAAATGTCAATCCCGCGAGAATACGCGGCATGGTAACAATTCACAGTGCACTGATCACTCGAAGCTCAGCCAAAACTGCAGATTTGCTTCAATGTAGACCTGTGTGAGCCGTGAATTACGAACTTCGTGCACCCTGTCACTTGGCACGGGACCAGCTGGAAGAACTCCGCTGTATGAAGCAGCGATGCTAATGTCCTGAGACGTCTTCATGTAAACGTTTTCCAGCCCTTGTGCCATTGAACTTGTCAAGTAAGGTCTGCACCAACCTTTCATGGCTTCACAGGCGTGCCAAAAGAGTTGGACTGAAGATGAAGCGGTCCATCAATCGACTTCTTCCACACTGTCTCCGTTTATCTTTCTTCTGCACACGCCGACTTTGTAGCAGAACGACAAGGAGAAAGGGCACGAAGAGGAGCAGGAGGCAGCATGTTGGGTGGGTGAAATCAAAAAAACTTAAAATAAGCATCAAAAAAACTTAAGCACTAAAGTAATAAGCATCAAAAAAACTAGAGCACTAAAATAGAAATCAAAAAAGAACTTAAGCACTTAAATAAGCATCAAGACAACTGAAGTACTAATCTAAGCCTTGACTGCCCCAAAACGATTTCAGCGTCGCACCCCTAGACAAGAGTGCCAACAATGAATCAAGAACAACAACAACAACAACAACAACAACAACACAATGACTCGGGGTGCTGGTTGCGATTTGCTTGTCTTCTTGCGTTATTGTTGTTGTTGATGATGTGTTATTGCTTTCATTGTCGTTGTTGATTTTTTACGTTCTAGTTGTTTTTCTTGTCTTTTCTTTCGTGGTTCTTTTAGCACTATTCCTGGTGATGTTGCTGTTATTTCCCGTTCGACTTGTCTGGTATTCTTTCTTGCGCTTCCTTTCGCTGTTCCTTCTTCTCTCTTTTTGTACTTGCGTGCTTTGTCTTAGGTATTTTGCTGTTTGCTGGCGGTTGTTTTTTTATTGCTTCCGTTCACTATTGTGTTTAGTTGGCCCCTGTTTTTAAGTCTATTTCGTGCTTCCTTACGTTTTTCCCTTATGTCTGTCTTTATGTCTCTCTTTCTCTTTGTCGTTTTGCTTTGTTTTTCTTGATTTATGTCTTCCTTTATTTCCCTTTTCCCTTTCTTCTGTCTTTCCTTCGTTCGTTCTGTCTGTCTTTCTTTCTGTCTCGCTTTCCTCTTTCCGCTTTATTTTTTGTGTTCTTTCTTTCTCTCTTTCCGCATTCTTTCTTTATGTCTTGTTTTTTTCCTTCTTTCTTTTTTCCTTTCTTTCTGTCCTTCTTTCATTATTTCTATCTTTCTTCCCCTTTCATTCGTTCTTTTTTTCTGTCTTTCTTTCTTTTTTTGTTCTTTCGTTCTGTCTTTTTGTTCCTTCTTTATTTCTTTCTTTCTGTCGTTCTGCTGTTTCTGTCTTTCTGGCTTTCTGTCAGTTTCTCGGGATATCCACGTATTTTTTATGCCAATTTAAATTTTGTTTGGATGCCTACTTAATTTTTTTGATGCCTATTTAGTGTTTTTTTTTGAACACGCACCTTTTCC